CAGGGCTACGGCCGTCCTGGATACGCCCCGGGTACCGCCCCCTACCCTGAATACGCTCCTGGCACCGCCCCGTACCCCGAGGTCACCAAGCGCGACGAGAACGCCGGCGAATACTTTGTCCCCGGCCCTGCCGCTCCTGCCACTGGCTACAACGGTCCCGGATACGGCCGCCAGGGCTTTGCTCCTGGCTCTGCCCCCTACCCTGAGTACGCCGGCGCTGGCCGCTACCCCGGCTTCGCCAAGCGCTCCAATGACGCCCTCACCAACGAGGACCACGACGGAAACTGGATCATCCGCCCGTACCTCGAGCCCGAGCACGACCCTCTCTACGTGACCGTTAACCACGTTGGCAAGCGTGACGAGAACGCCAACAACTACTTCGTCCCCGGCCCCGCCGCCCCCGCCACTGGCTACAACGGCCAGGGCTACGGCCGTCCCGGCTTCGCTCCTGGAACCACTCCTTACACTGAGTACCCCGGCGCTGGTGCTGGCCGCTACCCCGGCGTTGCCAAGCGTGATGAGAGTGCCGGCGAATACTTCGCTCCTGGTCCTGCCGGTCCTACTGCTGGTTACAACGGCCAGGGCTATGGCCGCCCCAACTACGCCCCCGGCACCGCTCCCTACGCCGAGTATGCCCCCGGTACCGCCCCTTACCCCGAGGTCACCAAGCGTGATGAGAATGCCAACGACGCCAACGACTTCTTCGTCCCTGGTCCCGCTGCTCCCGCCAATGGTTACAACGGCCCCAACTCCGGCTATGGCGCTCCTGGCTTCGGCGGTCCCGACTACGGCAACGCTGGTCTCCCCGGCGCTGCTGGTTCCCGCTGGTACGCTTAAGCTGTTGACTGTTGGTTGGCGGTTGATTCGATACGACGCAGCTCCTTTTCTTTTCCTTTCTTTCCCTTCCTTGGAGCGTGGTCGGTGATCTTGTCAGATATGGAGCGGTCTCTTCCGAGTTATATATTTCGGGTATCCATATTAGGATGTAATGGACATAATTCGTTAATGATGCGGAGGATGAATTGACGACTGTCTTTGTTTGTTAGCTTTAGCGGGTTTGTTTTTTTTTTTTTTCTTTTCTTTTCTTTTCTTGTTTTATCTGTCTAGTCACTCCCTTGTGTATATGGTTGCTTTTTTTTTTTTTTTTTTGCAATAAAGTCTCTCCTTGAAATTTCTAGTTCGAAATTGTAAACTTGGTTTTTGATCCATACCCAAGAAAAGTAGCCGAGACTGAAGTCATCATCTGCCATCGACTAAGGCTCGCAGTCTTCGCACGCGCGACTGTCGAAACACTTGAAGGAAGTGCAACTTCGCTTCCTAGGTTCGTTTCGCAGTGAGATAGTTTCAGCCGTATGAGTCCGTGGTTGATAGACCTCCGCGTAGTGGAGAGTTGTAGACGCGAAGGAGGTTGACTCCAAGCCTCCGGGTCGCGCGGGGCCTAGATCGGCGATCTTGGTACGCTAAGCTTAGGGCTGAAGAACGGATGTGGAGCCGATCGCACGAGCGATTTTGTTTTTGATCTCAGGCGTTTAATTCGGATTTTATTGGGGTTCAACTACGGGGGATCAGGGTGATGATAAGTGCATGTGTAAATTACGCGTGGTTGCTTGAATATGTCATGGACTCGGAGTGACGGCTAATCAGACCAGAGCGGTAATACATGGGAAATATGTAAAAGGTAGATGGAAATCGGGCAGACACGTACATACACACACACACACACACACACACACACACACACACACACACACACACACACACACACACACACACAAAAAAAAAAAACATCAAGGAGCCGAGCCGATTTCGGTCTCGGTCTCGGTCTCATGTTACAAATCCCCCCCCCCCCCCCCCCCAAAAAAAACGCCAAGTTATCCTCCCAAGTTTTCGTCTGATCGTTACTGAAATAAATCAAAATCATGAAGCACACGAGGCTTCCTTATCTCCACTGGTCTAGGCAATACACGGGATTGAGCAGCCAGGGACACACAAACTCACGAAGCACACGAGACTTCTTCTTCGTCTTCACTGAGACTGGGCAATACACGAGATTGCGCAGCCGTAGACTGCTTCCGCTTCTTCTTAGATACCCTGAGCGGGTCCACATAGAAGCAAAGTGTCTGTTCACTAAGACACTGCGAGCAATGTGGTCGTTGGCCATCGCAGGGTATTCCGGCCATCCGGCAAGTCTTGCATGGTGAGTTCGTATCATCTGCATCGGACTGTGTCTGTAGTCCCGGGCTGATATCAAACAGCGGAGATGCAGAATGTTCCGGGGCGATTCTGGGAGGACTCGTAACGTTGTACTCGTCGTAGTCGCTTTTGTAGTATGCCACTGGCCAGAACCACTGTGACAGGCGTCTGAAAAAGCCGGACTTTGGCAGATCGTCCTGTCCGAGGGCGGCACAATGCATTGGATTCGAAAAGTGAGGGGTGGTCTGAACGGCGGCCATGTTTCGGTGATATGTGGGGATTATTATGGGTTCTGTTTGCCACGGCGATATAAAGTTAGCATGTATCGATACTAGTGCGTGCAACCTAAAATCCTGTACATACCGGTCGTGATTCAAGTAGTCGGATTCCAATAACGTTGTGATATGAAGAGAGAAGAAAGTCGGACGAGGAGAGGAGAAGCAGGAGCAGCTTAAGAAGAACCAGACAGATGGTGTCTAGTAGACAGCAGCAGTACAGGCAGCCAGAGCCAAAATGAGTCTTATGGCAGCAGTCGATGACAGCTCGAGGGATTAAATGTCATACCCGGAGTGCCATAGCCCAACGACTGCGAGAGACAACGCATCTGACAGATGTTAAGCGCCATTGCCAACTGGACCTGCAGGAGAGAGAAACTTCGGTTGGTTGGATGAAAATGCCGAAAATGCCTGCTGTTACGTCAGATTCGCTTCATCGGGATTCAGGCACAATCGGTGCCTGCAGCGCAGGGATTCGATCAGGTTTGTTTAGAGTTAAACAGTAGAATCAATAAAATATTGCAATCTACATTCTAGTCGCTGTATAAAATAAAATAAATAGTAGGGAATTACTTTAATCCCAATGACAAATGGTCATGTGATGTTCCTGATACCCTGTGAGCCAGCATTCCCCGGATCTTATCTCCGAATGACCTCATTTCGGAAACCCTATCAACCACGCCACATAGCTGGGGGTGACACCTGTGGCGTAACAATGCCAGCTTATATCCCATTGTTCGAGTAATGATACCCCTGACAACCTGTACTACTATGAAGAAAGCTGCATTCGAAACCACTCCCACACTGATCCAAGAAATTCAGGAAATCGACCACCGCTACCATGAGTTCACGCATTTTGGACACCATCAAAGGAGACCACCAGGAGATCGAATCGGTCTACGGCAGACTCAAGCAAGCCAACGATCCCGAAGAACTCACGGCTTATCAGAACAAACTCACCTGGGAAATCGCCCGTCATGCGGTTGGGGAGGAGCTGGTGGTGATTCCGGCAATCGAGAAGTACGTCCGGGTTGGGAGGGACGTGGCTGACAGGGAGCTCCATGAACATCGAGTGGTATGTTACTGTGCTTGGTGGTTACGCCAGCTAATAATGGCCAGATCAAAGAACAATTGAAAAAGTTTCAGAACATGTCCAGTAGTGACTCCGAGTTCCTCCCCACCGCCCAAACTCTCATGTCCCAGGTTCTGGAAAACCACATGGGAGAAACGACAAACGACCTAGTCAAGTTAGAGGGTGCTATCACTCGCGACGAAAGCAACCGTCTTTCCAGATCGTTTAATCGGACCAAGATGTTTGTTCCTACCAGAGCGCATCCTAGCATCCCAGATCGGCCTCCGTTTGAAACAGCCTTGGGGTTGATGACGGCGCCTGTGGACCAGCTGGTGGATGTATTCCGCACGTGGCCTGAGGACGATGTCGATCAAATCGAGTAGGCTTCCCGGTGCTCCTGGTGTCGTACATTCTAATGGGATATTGTATAGGCCGGACGAGGAATTTGGCTATATGAGTCCTAGACATTGTAAATTGCCTCCTATAGAGTGATTCTATAATTAGATTGATAGATGTACAAAAGGATAACACGTTAATGTATACAAAAGTGCATTCATTCTCTATCCATAGTCTTTAAGTGTCAAGTCTTAAGCAATTACTCCTCCGGCTGCTGCTCCACCAATTGATTCAACTGATCACCAGCCTGCTTCTTACCTCTGTCCGTCACACGGGGATTCTGTTGAGCACTTTCATAATACACCCATTAGTATCAAGCCTACCAAACAATCTTCTATCACATCATGATAAACTCACGCCTTCAAACCACTCGCTACACGAGTAGGCTCCTTGTTCCGCTGACGAACTTCATACAGATCCTGCTGCGGTTTGTTCCCGTGGATCTCATTGTCAAGCACGTCTTGCGCGTGCTGCTTGGCTTCGTTGGAGACACGGGGGTTGTGCAGGGTGCTGTCCAAGTAGTCAACTATGCATGCATTCCATCGAAAAGATGGATGCGTACTCACGCTTTATAGCCACGCATGGCGTTGACCATATCCTCTCCGGAAGCGGAGACTTCGTTGTTCTCTCGAGAGTAAGACATTTTCGTTTAGTAGTGGGGACTTATTGGAAATGATCTGATAAATTGGAGTGGAGCCGTGATGATCAGAAAGTATACAGTATGGAGTATGTGATGTAGCAGATGGAGAAGTTGCTTGTTTAGTTCTTTTGGGGGGTTAACGTCATGATTATTGTAAGACAATTGATCTAATTGAGCGTCATCTTGCCACTAGATTTGCAATTTTCCATTGAGCAATATACATTCGTTGAGGGTTACTGTTCGATATACGGAGTACTTCGCAGATCACTTCGTGATGTGTAGTGTCATTAATAGGCATTCTTTTTTCATCAAACGACTATTAACTCTCTGACAATGACCATTTACCTATTAAGCATAATAATTGACTTGTCTAAGATTCTAAGAGAAACATTGTAGTCGCCTTTAAACTCGGATGACGTCCCCGAAACGTCAACCCCCAAACCCTACTCTCTTGACAGTATTTTGACATCAAAGTGGCATTAAGACCAAGATGAAGCCTGTTATATCTCATCTGTAATAGCTACATCATCGCCTTCACGACCGGAGTTATAGTACTCTCAAATCTTCGCCTCGAACGTCCGGACAACTCAGAAAGTCAGCTACAACACATACTCTACTCATATTTCTTTGGAATTAAAGCAGATAACAACAGGATGTCCAACCGTTTTGAAAGAGAAGCCGAAGACCTCTATGAGGCCCAAAACGACGCCTCCCCAGTCGCCGGCAACGTCTATGACAGCAGCTACATCAGCGACACCCGCCCTGAACTTAGAGACCAACTCCCCGTCCAGGCCGACCAGGCGGACTACGACGATCCTGTGCAGCCCCCGTACTCGAACTCAAATCAGCAGCTTGGTATGCATTACATTACGTTTGACATGGATGGAGCATGACTGAGGTTGCTAATGGTGCCTCTACAGAGGAGGATGAAAACGAGGCCATTAACAAATCGAACATTTTGAAGGGTGATCGTACGCGTCATGCTAAGCCGCAGTCTGCGAATAGGTACAATGAGGGACCCGGTGAGGATGACTTGCCTGATTATGTGAGGTATGGTACCTCGGGTGTTTCTGGGACGAAGAGGTTGAGTTAGGTGCGTGGGGGATGGGTTGAAGCTGTGTTTTATAGTTCTTGCATTTGTGTATTATCTTATGAAATTGATGTAATTGTATTGCAGTTGACTAAGTCGATGATTATTCTAGGGTCTAGTAATTACGGTATGTCGTTGGGACTCTCGGCTTAGTGTAGTATGTAGTCTTATCAGTTGCCGATCATAAATGCATGATTTCCTTTTCGGGATTAAAGTATATTCAGACATCAGTCGTAGATGTCAATGTATCACAACTTGTTATTGGAATGGTATTGGTTGTATCCGGTATGCTTGACGTTGATTATCCCCTATATACGTGCATGGCAGATATCTGCCATGTTTAATCATTGGATTATGCCCTTCACGCACCGTAGCTTACACATTCGCCTGGTAGGAAACTTCGCGAGGTCTTCCCTCAAAATCCGCCTCAATAATCCCCTGTCTATCACCAGGTGGGTTCCAGAGCCGAATCATGTCGAACACAGCTGATTCCAGCAGACGCTGCCATTGACCTTGTGTACGCTCCATGCTGTTGCAGAAGACCATCATCTCCCAGTCTGGCATAGCCGGTAGCATTGCGCACCCAGTGTCGGCAAGTATGAATTCTTCGATGATCAATTTCGAGTGGCCCTTTTTTTATAACGGGAAGCGATGTTGTGGGGGATTTTGCGGCAGTCTTCGTCGTTCCAGTCGTGGAGGATGAATTTGAGATAATAAGTGCGCGCGCCTGCAGTGTACATTGTCAGGGGAGATTACAAATAGGGGGAGCGGAGATATAAAGAGGCAATGTAATGTGACGGACCTTTAATAGGCTGCTTGTCGAACAAGTCAAACCCGATCCGTTCAATTGACTGGTCAAGATCCCGAATATCCTCAATCACATGTGGCTGGTCCTCGACAATGAGACGGCCAGAGGCTTCCGGGAACTTCTTAAGGAACGCTTGAATGTCATGGCCGCGGCCTCCAGCTGCATCGACGAGCAATGTATCGCTGATCGTACAATCAAAACCATCGATGACACATTCCTTCACAGGGAACCATTCCAGCCAGCTGGGACGACTTCCTCTGTCCACCTCCATGAACGTATTTCAGACGTCTAAACGCTCTTGGTCCTGGCCGACCCAGACCCAGAGCGATTCGGGGAAGTTTTCGGCATAATTGAATGGTCCGCCCACTGCGCCTTCAGGGTTCTTGTATCCGGTCTGTTGGAGGAATTCTGGAATTTTGACTTCGGGCTGTTATTCAAAAAGCACCGCCATGTCTTCCGAGTTATATTCCCTGCTTCTCGGAAGACTTGTCATTCGCATCTCAAGGCAGAGATCGTAATATGGTAATTGTTCTAGTTTTTCATGGATGATACATCACTGTAAATTTTTTTTTTCTTTTCCCTGCATGTTCTTTTCTCTTCTCTGTTTCTTTGTTCAATTCATTTAGGCGTTATGGGTTGGAGGTCTCTTCTTCTTATAATGCAGACCCATTCGTCCATACTCGTTGCTTGACATCGTTAGCCAGCTGGATTGGCCATGATGGATGCAGAAATCAAGAAAAAGACATTCTCATAGTGTCCTGGACATTTTGCGCCTTTGCGGTGATTTTAGTAACAGCGCGAATCTTCAGCCGTGTGGTACTCACGCAAAATACCGGATGGGATGATGTCTTTATTGTTATCTCCCTGGTACGAATGTCTTCTCTCGTTTAAATTTGATGGAAACTAACAGTCGAATCATAGGCCACTGCCATTGTCTGCTCCTCCCTGGTCACAGTCGGCATCCACTATGGCCTGGGCATGCATCTGCTAGAAATACTAGACCAAGATGACCGAACGATTGCGTTCAAGTACACCATCATTGCGCCAAACTTCTCCATCATGAACACCACAACAGGCAAGATCTCGGTGGTTCTGTTTCTCCTCCGGTTGATGGGTCAAGCGGCAACGAAGACGAAAAGAACCTTCCTTTACGTGTCGACCATCATGTCCATTATCGTTAACGTCATGTACATCGTTGTCCTGATGGGATTGTGCATTCCTGCTGAGAAGATCTGGAATTCTTCCACGCCGGGACACTGCATGAGTTTGATGACACAGTTGGCCATTGGGCTACTTCAGGCTTGTGAGATACCTTCATTCCTATACCCGTATGAGACGTCTGCTAATTACTGTTGAATAACTTACAATGCTTTTACGGATCTGACCTTGGCAATCTTTCCGGTCTTCATCTTCTCGAACGTTCAGCTACCGGTCAGGGCAAATCTCACCATCATAGGTGTTATGGGAGCTGGTGTAAGTACTTACGAAAAAAGCAGCAGCGACTTTGACCACCAAGTGTATTCAGCTGAAGCAGCTTCCGGAAGGAATGCCATGAGTATTTGTATTTATTATTATCCGATATAATTAGACCGTTTTTATCTTGCTCTGCATCGAGTAGACATAATTCTTCATTGTCTCAATACATCTCTCTAGATAATCAAGCCAAAGCCGGTCGCTCTGGTTAAATCAGGATCGGGTGATTGTGTAGTACTGTACTTTCCTGAATAATATATATCATCACAATCGGCAAGCTGTTCTTTCGAACGACCGAAATCTATTGATGGTATAGCTATCCTGATATTGAATCGAAGTCTTTGGGCAATTGTAAACGCCATGCGTGAAAATTTCCACTACACATTGCATCAAGTTTCTCGTGGTCTTTGTAGAGAGTGGTTATTACCCTTTTCGGAAGTGTATAGTTCCGAACGCTCCGTGTATGTTCGTATCTGAAAAAAAAAAAAAAAAAAAAATCTTACAGGAAACGCCATACAATCAGCATCAAGTCACTTTGTTTTTTTGTTCTTTTATGACTGTTGTTTGTCTTTCCCCCCTCTTTCTTTCCTTCTCTTTTGCAAGGCTACGCTTCTGGCACAGACCAACTGCCGTAGCCGTATTCCGGCTTGTGTCGCGATGCACCAGACAAACTTGTTGTCTTGTTTATCTAGATCTATCAAATGAGACATGCTCAATTGTCAATGAGAATTTCCTTTTAGAGGCGTGCTTGGTATTGCAGCCCCTTCCACCCGGGATCTCGATCCTCAACCCCACCACATTCAACCACTCGGGGATGATCTGAAATCTCCATTCGTCGCGCCATGACTTCACAGATCTCCAGTCCGTTCTCCAGATCGATGATTCGATGGTCCTGGAATCTCCGAGATTCCGGAGTGTTGGGAGGGGTGACCAGCAAAGAATGCAGGAGATCGGAGTCGTCCGTGACATTCCACCGTGTCCGCTGTATACAGACCAGGAGAGGCAATTTACTGATCACCTTCTACTAATTCCGGTGCTATTCATAAAAGACAATTGACTTTGGTCCCTGAATCAGTGACAGCCAGTGTTTCATCTACAACAGCACCATTCAGAGATCATCCATGGGACCTGAAGAAAGAAGTTCGGCTGCCCCTGTTTGAGATGATTCGGGGATGTTTCAGTTGCCGACCACACACTTTTTGGGCATCTTATCGCCGGTCCACTCAGCATGCCAGAAAGCCCGAAAAAGAAGAGAATGAAGGATCCCTGGGGTCTGGACTTTACTCGCCGGACGCCGGGAGTAGCGCTGATTTGTGCGTTACATGGCCAAGCAGAGTAACCCTCCAATCCGCGCGCTTCGGGCCCTGAAAAAAAAAAAGAGCCATTGTCGCGTGAATGAACCGCATTGACGGGGATATTAATAGGCACGCTGCTCTTATTGTCCTTCATTATTGAAGATAAAGAACTTTATTGGTCAATGGCGCTGGCTGGGCCGGGTCTTTTTTTCGTCTTGATTGTTTTTATTTGGGCTGATTGTCCCCAGCGTTGGCATCCTTTCTCTCATCCCTCTCTCTTTATTTTGTTATACATTCTTTCTTGTCCCAGGTCCCAGCTAGACTGACGACCGCATTTTCGACTTTCATTCCTTCCCTTCGGACTTTTGTGGCGACCTAGAGGGTTGTATTCCGTTGGTTCCTGCATTTTATCCTCTTCAATTCCTGCCTGGAACCCGGGACTGGCTTCCTTTCCTTCTTCCTCTGAGAGTTGAATAATAGTAATCTTTCTTCTTACAATAATCATGCCTTCTTCCTGGCTTCTGAGCGTCGGGACGCTCCTCGCTTCATCGATTTTCTCCCCCGTTGTGGCTGGTGGCTCGTGGCCGGCTCAGAGCTATCTACTCGCCGAGAAATGGCAAGGCGACTCGTTCTTGGAGCACATCGAGTTCTTCACTGGGGCTGACCCTACCAACGGCTATGTAACCTATCAAAACCAGAGCAGCGCGGAGAGCTCAGGCTTGTTCAAGGTGACCTCCAGCGGGAGTATGTATCTGGGTGTGGACCACACGAATACTCTGGATCCGAACGGCGCGGGACGGGACTCGGTACGAGTTGAAAGTAAACTGTTTTACAAGCAAGGTCTATATATCGTCGACATTGAGCACATGCCCGGGAGTGTCTGTGGTACTTGGCCTGCGTTTTGGTCTGTTGGTCCTCGCTGGCCTCAGGATGGTGAGATCGATATCGTCGAAGGTGTCAACAAGAACGAATACAATGAGATTGTCCTGCACACTAGTGGCTCTTGTGGGATCTCGGCCGACAACGACATGACCGGCACTGTGAGCTCCACGGAGTGTGGTGAGGCCTCTGGCACCATCGGCTGTGTTGTCAAGGGTAAAAATGGTACATCCGGCACTCCGTTCAACGAGCAGGGCGGTGGTGTCTACGCTCTGGAGCGTACCTCTGAATTCATCAAGATCTGGTACTTCCCCCGCGACTCAATCCCCGAGTCGATCACCAAGGGCACACCCGATACGGCTCATTTTGGAACCCCCATGGCGCATCTCCAGGGGTCCTGCGACTTTGGCGAACACTTCTCGGCGCAGAAGCTGATCTTCAACACCGATTTCTGTGGTGACTGGGCTGGTGGTATCTTTGGTCAGGATGGTCTTTGCCCCATGAGCGATCCCAGCGATACGTTCAAAAGTTGCAAGAGCTACGTCGCGCAGAATCCTGAGAAGTACAAGGAGTCGTACTGGGAGATCAACTCGGTGCAGATCTACATGGCTGGCCACCGTCACCATGAATCCAGCCAGGCTGCCTCCGCAGGTACCGCATCCGCCACTAAGGTTCCTACGAGCAGTGCGGCACCGGCAGTTGAATCTACTGTTGCACCAACCACGTCCAGCGTCGCATCTACTAGTGCTGCTTCTGAGACTGTTCCTCCTGTATTTGAGAGTACTCCTGTTGCAGAGTCAACGGTTTCCAGTGAGACCCCTACGCCACCAACGACTCAATCGCCGGTCGAGAGTGTTCCGGCGCCTGACACCAGTGCGCCTGCCCCTGAGACGACAATCACCAGTGAGACCACCTCTGTGGCTCACGAGACGACGCAATTACCGGCCGAGGCTACTTCGACTACTTCATCCGCAGTCCACGCCAAACAGTCCAAATCCCGAAGCACCGTGTACATGACATCGACGACCACAATTTGCCGTCAAGAGTCAGCTAGCTCTACTCCGGTGGGTGCCGTTGGTGCTAAAGAGCCTGAACCTGAGACCTCGCAAGCTAGCCACTCTTCGTTCCCTGCAAACAACAACGTCCAAGAGCACGGTAGCCAGACTCATGCCAGCGAAGCTCCGGCGACATCTACCCCTGTTGCCGAACCGGTTGCTCAGTCGACCACCGAGGCTGGAGCTGGGACTTGTGCTGCTCCACACCCGACGGGTGTTGACGCAGTCGGTGCTTCTGCCCCTGCTTCATCTGAGAGCTCTCCGGCCCCTGTCACCCAAGAACCTGTCACTCAGGCTCCCTCTACCGAGGCCCCTACTGCTCAAGCGCCTGCTACGCATGCTCCTCAATCCTCTGAACCTGCACCATCATCCGCCGCAGCAGTTGAAAACCCCGCTGCTCCCAGCTCTCCTGCACCCGCAACGAGCAATGTCCCTGTGATCTCTTCGACACGTGCATACACGGCTAGCAGCAGCACGCCTTCTACCGTTTCCCATGCTTCCGGTAGCTCCTTCTACCCCGGATATGATGCTTCTGGCACGCCTTCGGGTAGTGGGCCAGTACCGCCTCTCTTCACGGGCGCTGCCAGCAGATTGTCTGTTGAGATAACTGGTGTTCTTGGGGCTGTTGCGATGGCGCTGCTAGTATAACCATGGTTTCCTTTTCCTTCTCTATTCACGACATCCTATAAAGATTATCCATTCATTCGCATTTGGTCCTATTTTGCTGTTTAATCGAGCTCCCTTCTTTTTCTAGACCGTGGGAAATAGTCGTATTTCCAACCCGTTACCGTTGTCTTTATTTTGATATCCAAGCGTCCTAGCATAGATCAGTCCAAAAATAACACTCTACACTCTCGAACTTCCACGATTCAAATTCCTATTATTACTTAGCGTATCATAGCCCCGATCAGATCATCCCCGCCAATCTGCACCTAAGCGCCCTGCCCAAATGCCCAGCGCTTAAGCAAGTCAATCACACTCATATACATTTCAAGTCACCATCCTACATTTACTCATGCAACAATATAATGACCCAACTCAAACCCCTAAGATCCCTCCTCCGCCTCCTCAAGCTCAACAAAAAACCATGCAAAATCCCACTACCCCCAGCAGAACTCTTCCCATCCTCCGAACTAGTAAAGGAAGAAAACGCCCCGCGCTACAACCCCAGACACTTCTACCCCGTTCGTCTACATGAGATATTTAATGATCGGTCGGTATCAGGTTATGAGTAAGTTGGGCTGGGGGATGACTTCGACGGTTTGGTTGGCGATGGGTTTGGATGAGTGCGTACCCCCACCTGCACCTGCACTTCAATTGTCTAGATAGATAGCATGAGTTAACGAGGTAGATGGCGTTGGCGTCCACCACGTCACGTAACGCTTAAAATAAAAACGAATCAGCATGATTACCCCAGTGATGAAGCTGCTAGTAGGGAATTGCGTATGACGCAGCGCGTTTCTAGTACTAATCGTCGGCATCGGGGGTATCAATTTGTGCGTGCGCTGCAGGATAGTTTCTATTTGGAGGGGCCTGATGGTAGGCACGTGTGTATGGTTTTTGATACGTTGAAAGAGCCGCTTTGGAATATTGAAGAAGCGGTTCGTGAGGAGTGTTTTGCCGGATGATGTGTTGAAGCTGGTGGTGCATATGATGTTGCAGGGGTTGAAGTATTTGCATACGGAGTGTCATGTCATCCATACAGATGAGTTGAGCTCTGGGGGCTATGGAAGAGTTGATGCTAAACGAAACAGATCTAAAAGAAGACAACATCCTAATGGCCCTCAATTACCAAAGCATCCTAAACGGCGTTGCACAAGACGAGACAATCGCCCCTCTCCCCCAGAAACACGTCGACATCGACGGGCACTAACGAACGATATATCTCCCCCGAAATGCATTCGGATCAACTCAGGGAATAGGAATACCAGTAATCACGGACTTCGGACTAGCAGTTCGTGGCGACGAACAGAAGTATCACTATTATCCCACTCAGCCGGATCTTTAATCTGCGTCAAGAGGTCGTGCTCAAGACCGGGTGGAGTTATAGTGCTGATGTTTGAAATCTAGGGGTCTTGGTAGGTCTGGTTTTTGTTTTTCTTGAGATAAAGGAAGGGTGCTGGCGATGTAGATGTGGAATTTACTTCAAGGGACTACGCTCTTTCAAGCGATTCAGCCTGACGGGGTTTCGTTTTCAGACGAGCAACATCTGGCGAATGTCATTGCGTTACTGGGTCCTCCACCAAGGGACTTGATTGAACGGGGGAGGGAGAATTTGCGGTATTTCGATGATCATGGTGAGTTAAAAATTGTATGTGTTGGCCACATTGCTAATGGATTATCTGGTCCAGGGAAATTCAAGTATCCCGAACTCGTTCCCAAGGATGCAAGATTAGAGCAATTACTGGACCGCATTGAAGGGGACGAGAGGAGTGCATTTTTTGATTTTATGTCGAAAACGCTGCAGTGGCTTCCTGAGGATCGAATGACTGCTGCGGAGTTACTATCTCATCCTTGGGTACATATTGGTATTTGAATTTCGGCAATTCTATAATTCAAACTATAACCTAGATGGTACCAGAAACAAAACTTATGTGCACACACAGAGAATATAGTCATCCTAATCCCACCTCCTCAACCAATCCCTCGCATAACACTCCAAAACCCCATCCTCAATAATCCGCAAGCGACCCTCCCGCAAACTCACACTATCCCTCTCAGCCTTCCCAGTGAGAAACCTCTTTTCTTGTTGCTCAGGTCCCGATGCGTTGCTATACGTTGCCTCGTAATGCGCTGTCAACTTCACAGCGGGGTTAACGAGCTCTTCACCACGTGCTTCGCTGTCTCGTAGCATCTTCAGCCAGGTCTGAAACGGCACGGTTTTGAACTCGAAGCCGTTTTCTTGAAGGGCCATGAGGAGGGATGACCAAGTGAATGTATGTGGATTGCAGAGGTTGTAAGCGGTGTCATCCTCATCCTCAACCATCGAATAAGCCGAACCACCACTACTATCACTCCTTGGCGAGTGAGGCCGCGATACACACTCACAAGCCTCCGAAATCTCAACAATACCCCTCGCAAGTACATCAACCGGCAACCAAGAACACTCTGTATCCAACTCCGGAAGAACCTTCAACGTAACCGCAGACCGAATCATCAACGGAATAGCCTCAGAGTCATTCCAAAGACCCTTCTCAGAATGTCCCGAGACCTGTCCGATGCGGAGAGTATAAGCCCTTGCGCCTGATTTTCGGGCGTTGCTGACGATATGCTCGCCTATCAGCTTGGAGCGTCCGTAGCCCATGTCTAGTGCGCTGTGGGGATCGGGGATTGGTTTCTCGGGGATTTCGGGGGATGGTGAGCCCAGTGCTGTTGAGACGGATGAGCAGAAGAATAGTGCTGCGGGCGTGGGTTGGTGGACTGATAGTGAGAATTGTACGAGGTTGTGGAGGCCTTTGATGTGTGGTTTGAAGGTGGATAGTGGGAGATTGAAGTTGACAGGCCATGCGGAGTGGATTATGAGGGAGACTGATTGTTGCATTTTGTGAAGTGTTTCTTTGTCAATGCCGAGGTTGGGTTTGTCGAGAGTGCTGTTTAGTGCGATTATCTTTTGGACTTGGGAGGTTGGGACTTGTAGATCCTTTTGCGATAGGGTGTTGAGGATTGCGTCCATCGGGTTTGTCCTGCGCGTGAGGCAGTACACTGCGGATATGCTGTCGTCGTTCAAAAGAGTGACCAGGATATGGGCTCCGATAGAACCAGTGGCACCGGTTAAGATCTGACCAATGATTAGAAACAGTGATGCGGAGGTATAGGAAGGGGTGTAAACATACCACGCTCTTCTCCTTGACAGACTCTAGACTCGGACTATGTTGATGGAATGAAGAGTATTTCTCGATCAACTTGAGCATCAGCGAGACTTCATCTTCGGCCGTCGTCTGTCGTCCACTCTGGACAGCACAAACATACTTCGCGAGACGGGCAACGCTCCCAGTTTCGAAAACAACATTCTGGCTGATCGCACCGCTATCCGCAACCTTGAAATCCCTCAGAATCAAGCGTCGCAAGTGAATCGCCTTCAAGCTGTCGACTCCCTGACTGAAAAGATCGACATCTGCGTCTGAGATCGAAAGTCCAATTTCCTCCTGACAAAGTTTCATCAGGCGGGCTTCCGTAGCCGGAATATCCAACTCGAGTGTACCTCCTTCGCCCTTATCAAGACTGGTATACATGTTTTCTATTACTTCGGCATATTTCATGTACACCTGCGTACGAATAATCGAGCCTTTATCTGTCCGTGGACATGGAGCATCGTGAGGGATGACGGTGACCATCTCCCGAGCAACCTGTGAAAATTGCTCGGCTCTGGAATTTGCCTCTTGAATCGTTGGCCATATGGAGTCGAAATATTCCTCATCAGAAAGACCCTTGGACTCCTCAGAGCGAAAAACGAGTAGCCCAGGAACCGCCTTCCCAACGCCAGCCACAACGGCTTCCTGGACCAGTGGATTTTGCTTAATAGTGCCTTCAATCGGCAGAGGGAGGACCTTTTCGCCATTGACCAGCGTGATACGGTCATCTAGTCTGCTGATGTACTTCCATCGACTGGGGATGGTTGGATGAGGTTCGAAGACGTCGCGGGAATGGTAAGAACCCGGAGGATCGTCGGAATTCGTCAGACTTAATGCTGGAAGACCAGCCAGATATACGGCTTCATACAGGGAATTGCCAATTGGTTTCATCCATATAAATTGCTGGAGGCCATCGTCGAATCGCAGATAATTCCAGTACGGATCGTCTTTTGGGCGGGAGAAGGAGTCGGCAACAGTGCCTGATTCGGTTCTATACTGGTATCAGCATTTATTCGGATGAAGTAAGGAGGAAGGTTGGCTTACGAGCCAAACTGAACACCGAGTGGCACTCCCTCGTGCACCAATCGGTCGCCCAACTCATCAGGACAGGCAGCGCCGCCGTAGGTGACGAGCTTGCATTTCTGCAGCAGTTCAACACCGCGAGGATCGTCTGACAGCATTTGCAATATATACGGGACTGCGTGTACAGACTCTGGCTTTGCTTCTTTAATGGCTGCAATCAGGCCTCCAGCAGTCAGGGGTAGTGAGACATTCCACATGAATGCCGTCTTTCCCATGTACATAGTTGGTAGGTATTTGCAGATACCGAATGAATGGAACCAAGGGAGTGGGATGAACGCCGTCATTTCTGATCCCCGTATCATAAAAATCTTCAGTACTTTATGGGTGAGGAAGATGGGCTTTGGAAATCCAGTTGATCCAGACGAATGCATTATAATTGCGGTGCTGCTCTCTTGTTCTTCTTGAGAACGGATTCTTTTCGACGAGACGGATGGCAAGACTTGTGCTTGGCTTAAAGACGCTCTTTGGATTATAGGGCGACATACAATCACCTTCAACCTCAATACCTCGCCTATAGTCGTTCGGATACTGGGGGACTGTCCGTAGAGAATGGTGTCACAACCAACAACATCGAGCAAAGAAACACAAGCGGCGGCGGAGAGACGAGTAGACAATAACATGATGGCATATCCCAGCCGACTGAGGGCAAATAAGGTGATAATCATATTTAGATCTGAAGGTGTGAACAGTGCCACGACAGACTTATAATTATTCTGTAGCTGATAATACATGAGCAAGAATATAGCTCAGAGAGCTTCTTCGATACAAAGCTTACCGGTCTGAAGCCATGGTTTATCAGAACCCGGGCAGCCTGGTCAATCATTGCATCCAGATCCCGTCCAGTAAAATATTCGTATGATGCAGGATCATTTTCAAAACTTGGATGTGCGAGGATAGGCTGTTGGGTTTCATCTGCTGCTCGCAGTCGAATGAGATCATCAAGGACATGCGGGTTACCAAAGCGTTTGAATAGCTGCTCTGGAGTCGAGATGATACTCTGTAAGGCGTCTTCACAATTTTTGGTGGCCATCATAGGCGAAATTATCCTAGGGAATCTTCTGTACGACTGTTTTTAGGGTAGCAAAATGAGCTTGATCGATACTCAAAGTCGGAGGCACTGCGGGATTTATATGAGTTTTAGTACTCCGTAATTTTTTTTTTCCCTTTGAAACCTGTTTAGCTTTTGGTCTGTCACTTGGTGCCCTTCATTTTCAACATACGGGGTAATTACTCCGTGGTATGGATTGGTTCCTGTGGGGCTGGGGGCTGAGGTATGGGCGCAGCTGAAGCCGAAGTATCTGCCCAGATGACATTCACAAAACAGGCTAGCAGATAAACAACAAAGGAAATATAGAAGGGTTGAGCTGATCATGACCATGCATATTGGGAAATATCGAAAAAACCACACATAAAGGATCACATAAAACCATGCAGTCATCTCCGAACAGTACAGACAGGCCGGATTTCGAGACTGCGGATATCTTCGCTCACGAGCCCGGGGATCAGCTTTTTGCTACCCTCCTCAATGCGCCGGTACAATGCCTCATCACCAAAGTACTTGCCGTCTCGCCAGTCAAAGCATTGGCGGTTGGGATCCCAGCACAGGGCCCTTCCCTGTTCAGGTCTCTCAGGCCCCCACTGCGGCTGAACCTTCAGCTCATGGTCTGTAAACTCCGGCGGTGTATTGACGATGACGAACAACACTTTGAGACAACTGAACTCCCTAAATATATCAACTAGCGGGTCGTCATCCGCCGGGAGCAGCGCCTCATGGACGGCGAAATAATAGAAAAACGAATAAGGGAACGTGACGAAGTGATCAAAAAGATCCGGTTCTTCCATTCGATCACACGTCTCCGAGTAAAAGTCGTACAATCGTTCTGGCATAATATATAGTGCGTCACAGTTTGGATTAAATGGGCGTGTAAAGATATGGCATTGTCGACTTTCGCAGAAGCGTATATTGATGTTTTGTTGGCGGGCCCAGGCCAAGGTAATGCTGCGGGCTTCGTGGTTGACGAAGACCAGCGGTAGCTCGAGTTGAATATTGTCTAATAAGTCATGGCGAAACTCCATCCATATGTCCGGATGGGGTCCTGGGCAATAACCCTCATCGGATGGTGATAGCCATCGAGGGTGCCAACATCCCCTTTTGTAGGGGTACAAGGCAGGCTGCTCCTCTTCTGGCAAAGCGTCACGCCATATCTGTGTGCGAAGCTCGGGAGGGAGATTCAAAAAAAGAGGAAATGTAGAAGAGTTCATGGTTTTGGATTATCTGCCTATCTGCCTATCTGGCTTCTGGTGAAAGGCTGTGCGTGGTGACAGATGGGCCGAAGACCGTTTGTTTAGAGCATTGTTCTCCGACCGAGTCGGAGCATTAAGCCCACTGCAAGCAGCCTCACTGTCGTTATATCGAGAAATATTACAGATGATAAAATGGTAGAGTGTCCAGCTCGGAGCATTATTTTTATTTCTCCGTTCCTCAGAAATATACTTGTACTTTGTAAAGACAACAAACCGGGTATCCAAACTCCATACACAACTGATAAAAAGACACTCCCCCATAGTCAAAAATCAAATCTCCTTCTCCCTCCTCACCCTCCCAACCTCCCCCCTCCGAACCTCCCTCTCCACATCCACCAGTCTCCCCTCCCACTCAGCCCAACACTCCCCACTCCCCAGAAGCCCAACTTCATACCACCTCTGCAATGCCTTCGCAGTCCTAACTCTCAGCTCCGATATAACCTTCGCCTGTTCATCCTGGCCCTTCGACACACGATCGATCTGCGGTTGTAGCTGGATTAACGCGGCGGATGTCGAAGCGTCGGGGATGGGGAGGTCGTTGAGGGATGTGAGGCGGGAGGCGGTTTCGGGGAAGGCGGAGGCGTAGGAGAGGACGATTGAGGCGAGGTTTTGGGTTGTTAGGGTTTCGGGGAGGGTGTCTGGGGGTGTGGTGTGAAAGAGGTCGGGGAAGCGGTCGTCTGTTATCCAGGTTAGTGGTCTGTCAAGGGAAAGGTATGGGGAGTTGGGGAAGACGTACGCAGTTGGATTACATCGTATATGGCTGGAATGTTCCTGCTGAGCCTCTCGAGGTTCTTTTCGAGGCGGAAAAGACGGCGCGAGACAGTTTCGTCGAGGTTATCGGGCTTTAAGGGTAGTGAGGGTTCGCCGGTCCAGTGGGAGTCGCCGGTGAGGAGGTATGAGAGGCGGCGGAGACGCGATTCGAGGAGTTCAATTGTTGCGCTTGCCACGGCGTCACTTTCAAGAGTCATTCTTTTTATTTCAAGGGGGCCAATGGTGAGTTGTGTCTTGAACGGTTGTTGATGTTGTCCGTCAACTCCCCGAAGATCACGGAGTGAAGGTGCAAACAAAACAAACACCGGGGAAGTTGGGTCGAAAGTAGGTTTACATATGGCTAGGAATTGCACAACTTCATGGTATGGCTAATTCGTATAAACACTTGTGGTTTACCTTTACCTATGTACAAATATTGCATGTCGTGTCTAACACATGCATGCATCGTCAAATCATTCACGCGTGAGTTTCTCATATCATAGAAATCATTCAGCTTTCGATCCATCAGCATCATTGGATCCAGGGCCACCAGGGCCAGACGTTGGCGGAGCAGCGAATCCATGGCTTTGACTCAGGAAGCCTCCGCCTTTCTCCTGCATCTCTGGTCCTACAGGATCCGCCTCGTTATCAAAGGATGCAACCTGGTAGTCGAAAACGTTCACTTTCGGATGACCAGCGTCTTGCGAAGTCGTGGCTCCCTGGGCCTGAGCAGGGGCATTGGGGAAGTCATTTGAAGCCGGTTGCTGCGTGGTCCTTGCTTCCTGTAATTCGGCCTCAAAGGCTTGGCTATCGGCATCTACGAATCGCTATCATGGTGTTAGTAGATGCGTCTGAAAAAAGAAACCAAGTATCATCTTACTTGGAGTGGTGCTTGGATTTGGTCTTCCTGGGCCGTCACTGCATTGACACTTGCGTATACAAGCAAGACTGATTTCGACTCCTCGCGCGCAGCTCGAAGGACTTCTATCTCGCGGACCTTGCGTGCCGTATACCCGATGACATCTGTATTGCTTGGTGCAGCATGACTACCACGATCAGACTCTGCTTGTTGTGTCTTCGCATCTTCTGTCGAAAAGCTGATACGCCACCATTGCCATTCGTCGCCTGTTCTTGCATCGCTCTCCTGCGCATTCTCACGGGGCCGAAGGACGTAGGTAATATGTGGCTGGGTGCATACGCCTCGTAGCGTGTACTTATGGTGAGGTGGTTCATCTGGAGATGCTGATGGCTCGGTGAGAATCTTCGAATATCCTCGAAGGGCTTCAATGGCGCCCTGTTTGCGTGATTCCAATTCTATTCAAGTCAGCCATGGTTCTGAATTTGGACCGGAAGCCTGAAACTTACCTTGTAGCTTGTTCTCGATTTTATTCGATATCGATTTCAGCTCCTCGGCTAATCGTTGTGCCTCAGTACTTGCGGATTCAGGCGTCACCGATGCATCGCTGGTTCCACTTGCAAGACCTTTGGACAGGAATTGAGAAGCAGCGACAGCAGCTTTCTCCAAGGTTTCTTTTGATCCCAGTCCCTTATGAACGAGAGACTTGGACACAGAGAACTGGTTCAAAAGATGCTCCGTCTTGAATATCTCTTCGTAAATACGAAGTCTCTCTGACCGGAACTCACGAGCAAACTCTCTGGCACCAGTAAGATATCGATCCGGGTAGAAGACAGCAGGAATCTTCACATCAACGGAATCTGCAGAGCTTTCCAGACGAATCGTAAGAACCTCTGCAACGTTTTCGAGCCACACGTCGTCGAGTTCGTCACCGGGTCGGTCCGACCACATCGCACGATCCAGGACATCATAGAGCGTTTGGCCATGTTCAGGCTCCACAAATGGATCCAAGCTGAAGAACTCCTTATGGATAGGCGTGTCGTGCACAGAGAGCGGGCGTTTATGTGCGTTCGATGAGAACACACTCACGGATTGGTTTCCTGGATCTGCCCTGGCGGCGGACCCTTGCCATGTCTCCAGAAACTTTCCGACACTGCCTTCTGAATAGGAAGACATACTCTTAAGGCTAGCCAGAGCGTCACTACTACCGAAAGACCGGTTTGTCGAGTCCAGAAATGCCATCAACCTCTGCGCCTCGTATAAAATATCGTCCCAATTGGTATCCCCGTCCTGTACATCCTGCATAGTCACGATCTTGGGAAGACTGATCGGATGTCCATTCCACCACTGCGGATCATGACCGTAATTTGGAAGCATGCGATTCCTGAACAAAAGCGCTTCTCTCGCAAGCGGGATTGAATGCAGGATCGTGATCAATCCTCCCAGGTACTGGTTATCCGGGGAAGGGCGTAGAAATGCTGGTTCGTTGTTCACTCTCCTGCGGTCTTCCGGGTCAGGGCTAATAACAATCTCTCGCGAGGTGGGGTTGAATAAAGTCATCGCCCAGTTGCCTTCGTCGTAATGATCGCGGGTCGCTTCTCCGAACTTTCCTCTCTGCGTAGTGGTGACCCCTGTTTCCTGCTGACCAAGGTTCTGGTTCAACGACATGGCGACGGCTTGCTGGAGCTCCTGCTCTTCCCGCTCCGACAGCGTCATCCCTTGTCCAGTGTTCGAGGCGCTGGGTGCCGGCGGTTGGTATTCGTTCATGGGTAGCTCGTTCATGTTTATCCTCGATGGCGGACGTGACGGAGGAGCAGTTGCGTGTGGTCCCGAGGTTGGAACGGGGTCTGCATGTTCGACCTGGAATGCTATATGACAGGTCCGTCAGCAAATGTTAACCACCGGTCCGCGTTTGAGCCTGGCAGACATACACGACATCTGTTGGTCATTGTCAAATCCACTTGTCTGTATAGGACCAAGTTCACCGATTAGTCCCTGTTTCCGCACATCGAGCGCATCGTGGGCATTTCACCTGTGTCTGGGGCCCTGTCGGATCTTCGAAATAGGCATTGATGGCTTTGTTCGAATTGTTGTCGTTCGCCTGTGTAAGAGAGCATAGAGAGTTGTATTAGCTTTAGGATATCGTCTAAAGTCGATCACAATCCACTCACCTTGAGGAAGCTGATAGCTTGTTCGCGCGTTGTGCTTGTGAAGCTAACGAAGTTCTCGATAGCTTCCTCTGACGGTTCGACGGCCATCTTGAGGTTTTCTGGCCTGGCAGCGCGATGAGAGAATATCCAGGCGATTAACTCAAATTTAGAGGGCAAAGAGAGTAATCAAACATGAAGATAGCGTGAAGGAATCCGGGGTCGCAGTTGTTGACAAACGATTATCCCACCTCGGATTGACGTCACATGACATATCGCCCCACTTCACCAAAAAGGGAAAGACAATACAATCCCGTCTGAATGCAAATTCAGACAAAGCCCTAGACCTCTGAAAGAATTGGATTGAATTCAGTCACATGAATGAACAAAGGCTAGAATATCTAAGCGCTGTTTTGACAAATAACTGCAGAACATGTGCGACAAATACTTCATTCATGGATGTGCGGAACACAGTGGCAGCTTGAATACCATTATCTATGGCTTGTTTGTTCCTTTCGGTGGCTATTTTTATTCTTTGAAGCACCAGCCGCCTCAAAGGGATTCTCACAATGTTTTCATGTTCAAGAGACTTCGTTTCGAGAGCCTCGGTCCTTCAGGTCCTCTATAAAACGACTCACGGGTTCGGGGCAAAAATCAGCGATCATTCAAAAGCGAACTACATACAACCACCAAATCTCAAAAGATCAATTTTATCTACACGGGCCATACCGTCATGGCAAACATTGGTCGCGAAACCATCCGCATCCTGGCTGCTATCTACTCCGACATCAACTCCGTCTGCGATATCCGAAAGAGAGTCAACTCAAAGCCCGAAAATGAAGACATTGGTGACTATAGGAAGGCGTGCCGACGTGCCAGCACACTGGTGAGCCAGGCTGTCACTCAAGCATTGAGTGGACATCAATATCTCAAACAACGACTCTATGCCCGGCGTCTAACGGAACTGACTACAATATTAGGCTGGAAGTTATTCTCCATCTGCGCACATTCTGCAGCCTTTCGACAAGCGTTTATAAGAACAGGAGTGGTGGCTTGGGACGCGTTGATCGGTCAGCTCGAAGCTAACCGTCTCAGCATTGAACTCTTTGCTCGAACCCGGAACCTCGAATGGCGCGGTCCGTTGTTGAAGCACGCCAGACATAGGCTGCCGGAGCTGCAACGAGAACTTGCGCCCTATATAAAACTCTACGACCAACATCCGCACCACTTTGTCCGGATCCAGAACGAAGCAGTTCGCTTGCCAATGTATGAAGGGAACTTCCAAATGCACACCGACGCCTGCACGTTTGACCCGAGACAATGGGAGAGCTATGTACGTGAAGGGGAAGAAGTCCATGACCCCACAGAACGTGAAGAAGAAGATGGAAACTGTCGGCTGTGTCGCCAAAGTCTTGATTTTCCCTGCTCCTGTCTCCCTCCAGACTTAGGACAACTGGTTGAGCTAGTTGACTATCCTAAGAAGGGAATTGGAGTTCGGGCTCTGGCTAATTTCAAAAAAGGACAAATCCTCGGCGAATTCATCGGAGAGATTCGACACTGGGCTTACGAAGGTGATCCCAAGTATTGTTATCTCATCATTGATAAATTTCTTAAACCCGTTGCAACAATTTCGCCCAAACGCTATGGAAACTGGACACGGTTCATCAACCATTCCTGCGACGCGTCTACCAACTTCGATATTATGTCTATCGGAAAGCGGCTTGTCGTTGTCATCCAGGCAAAACGGGACATTATGATGTTCGAGGAAATCACAGTCCATTATGGCGACGGTTATTGGAATGATCAGGCATGTCCATGCGGTTCGTCGGAGTGTATGTCGAAGAAGCGGGAATCTAAGGAACCACCTTTGATACTTTCAGTCGACAATGGCGAATTAGATGACTCTTAGTCTTGTTGTTTTTCATGCGTTTTGCTTCGGTATAGATATAGACCAATACAACTTTTAGTTACTCCTTAGAACCACACCGACATTGCGTTGTACAGTAAACTTGCATTCCGTAAAGAAGTTTAAAAACACCTCGGATACATCAAAATACACTCTGATCCGCTGGTACTTCGGTGTATACTTGGCCAACCCCGCAAACAACAGCCGACGAGTCGACGACAATGCGGGGAAGCTCCATCACCACTTGGCCTCGAGCTCTTTTCTCATCCCTATTCATCATATCCTTATATTTTTCAGATCAATTTGACTGCGTGTTTACTCTTCCACATAGCCAATTGTCTACCTGACCACCTGAATACGATCGAGCCCTGATAAACCGCTTCGGACCATCCCGAGTACGGCGGATCTCGCAGCACTGAATAGCTCTATTGAGGAATGACCCTTTAACAATACATCGGACCTGTCACAATGCGCGGTGCAATTGTCTGTCGCACACGAATTATCCCTCAATCAAGATCTGTTCGTCCAAGTCCGTGGACGAAACCAACACGGTCAATTCTGGGATTAAGACGAGGATTGATCACGCAGAGCTATGCGCGAGGACCATCAGAAGTCAGTCAATTCAATTGATAGGAAAGAACAATTATATGGAAGCTAACATATTTTGTGTAGCCTCCATTGATCGAATCGACCGTGGGAGATCACTTCGCCAAAGTAGTCAGTGAATATGGGGACCGGACGGCGTGGGTTTACCCTGTTTCTGATACGATAGTGCTATTTGCTGATGCAATTGACTGCTTTCAGTGTTGTCGCGAGACACCAGAAGGACAGAGTCACTTACTCTGAATTGGACGCCAAAAGCAATTCCCTCGCCCGGGGCTTGGAATCGAAGGGCGTGCGAACCGGAGACCGAGTTGGGGTGATGCTGGGGAATTCCATGGAATATGCTATTGTATGTCTGTTTTTGTTATCGAAGTGGCATAAATTTGACTGACTGGTGTTGTTTGCTCAGGTAACCTATGCTCTGTTCAAACTAGGAGCTATCCTAGTACGTCCCCAATTGCAAATATGACTATCCAACTATCCATGCTAACTCTGTCAGGTCCCTATAAACCTCTCCTTCAACCCAATGCAAGTCGTCGCGGCACTTAACCACCTCAACGCAAGCCACCTAATCATAAGCGCCGAATCCAACCTCCCCCGAAAAGAACCACGCAACAACATCCCCCTCCTCCAACACATACTCCAAGACCTGACAAACCCAAAGCTCGAATCAGCAATAATCCCCTCCCTCCAGAATATAATCTTCGTCGATAACTCCTCCGGCCGCGTCGACACCTCAGACTTCAAATGCCTCACGCCATACAACTCGATTACATCCGACCTACAAGCAGACGGAAACGCCCTTCCGCCCCGAGATCTCTCACCAAACGACATCGTCAATATCCAATTTACTTCGGGAACGACAGCAATGCCCAAAGCAGCTTGTCTCACGCATCGCAGTATTCTGAACAATGGCGCCCAGATCGGCGACAGAATGCGTCTCACACCAACCGATATCGTCTGCTGCCCACCACCGCTCTTCCACTGCTTCGGCTGCGTGTTGGGCTACATGGCGACAGCAACGCATGGCTCAGCAATTGTCTTCCCTGCTGAATCCTTCAATGCGCGCGCAGCCCTCCACGCCGTCCAAGAAGAACAGTGCACAGCTCTCTACGGTGTACCAACAATGTTCCTCGAACAACTAGGTCTAATACAGGACGGCGTAGTCTCAAACGAAGGCTTCCAACACCTACGCACCGGTATCGCAGCTGGAAGCAGCATCCCCGCGGAGCTAATGAAGAAATTACACCACGTACTAAACTTAACCGAATTAACAATCTGCTACGGAATGACGGAGACAAGCCCCGTCTCTGCTATGACGACGACAGATGACCCTATCGATAATCGCATCAACACCGTCGGTAGACTGATGCCGCATGTTGAGGCGAAGATCGTGAATCTCGCTGATAAGAGCATCGTTCCCGTCGGTGGTAGAGGTGAATTGGCTGTCTCGGGATACCTGCTCATGAAGGAATACTGGAATGATCCGGATCGAACGGCTGAGGTTATGATTCCGGATGATGGTGGGAAGGTTTGGATGCATGTAGGTTTACTTCAACACCAACTGACTCTGTTCAAACTAACAAAAAACAAATAGACAGGAGACGAGGCCTCGATGTCCGAAGACGGCTACATCACCATCACAGGACGCATAAAAGACCTTATCATCCGAGGCGGGGAGAACATTCATCCCCTAGAGATAGAAAACTGTCTCCTCTCTCATCCTGGCATCGGGGACGTCTCTGTGGTCGGAGTTCCTGATGAGCGGTACGGAGAGGTGGTGGCCGCTTTCGTGATTTCAAAGCAAAAGCATGGTCAGGAAGAACTGGTTGATGAGGAGAGTATCAAGACGCAAGTTCGGGAGAAGCTGAGCAATCATCTTGGTATGCCTGTCCTTAATGCCTACTGTGTGGACTCAATATTCTGACACTATAATAGTACCGAAATATATCTTTTTCATGTCCCCCTCCGAGACATTCCCCAAGACGGCGAGTGGAAAGGTTCAGAAGTTCAAGCTCAAAGAAACCGCTATCCGGATCTTGAACGAGACTCGTTCTACGTAGAGTGTTTTAGACTAGATGTCAAGGAAGGCATTCATTTCAATTTAATAGACAAGCAATATCAAACACATACTAGCATACTCCATCCATCATGTAACGTAACACCGAACTAGATTCTGTATAACTGCAACACCAAAAGCGCCTTCGCAAGGTAAGAATCCTCGAATCGAAGACAAACACCCGAAAATCAAAACATAAGACGACACGTAGCAAGACAAAGATACCACCAAAGAAAGTTCGAGGAGAAAATGCGTATTGGAAAAAAAAAAAAAAAAAAAAAAAAGTATAAAGAGCACGTCAGATCCCTAGGGATTGGAAAATTCCCTTCTTGATCGGCGGGAAGTGGTTGTGCTTCCTGTTTGCCAGTCGATAGCTACCCATTCTCATTGCATCGGAATACTGGATTGCCCAGGGCGGATTCTCTGGATCAGGACAGCAACAGTCGATAGTCCTCACCCAACGATCATTTAAAGCTCCGAAGATATTAAGCCGTTTTACTGGGTCTGGGTGAAGCATTCGTAAAAGAAGACGTCGGAGCACAGGTGTCGGAAGAGCTTTGAATACCATTCCACACCTTGGATAGTTGAGACTGTCCACCACTCCGTCAGGTCTTTCCTGTAAGAATCTTTCCCAGCCTGTAAGGAAGCGACCATATTTGGAGTCCTTCAGGTCTGCAGCTTGCCAGGGTGTACCGCAAATGAATAGGGTAAAGCAAACAATGGCGCATGACCAGACATCAAGTGGCCGTGGATCATACTCAGCTGGATGGAAATGTCAGTTAGTCTCTCGAAAGACGGGTTCAGGTGCCACAACTTACCGTCCCTGCTTAGAACCTCTGGCGCAATGTATGGTAAACTACCGCTTATTCCAGGTGCACATTTACGAATTTCGTCAGGATCTTGGGCGCAATCATAATATGCAGCCCGCATTCCGGGATGAGGGCCACGAAATACTACCGCAACACCAAAATCAGTAATCTTGAGATGACCCTTGTCATCCAAGAGCAGGTTCTCTGGCTTGATGTCACGATGTGCAATTCCCCGACTATGCAAATGTGCAACACCTTGGAGAAGTTGCTTGAAGAAACACAACTTATCCTCAGTCTTGAGGTGACCATGCTTGAGGAGAGAAAATAGGTCCCCTTGACCGCAGTATTCCATGGTGTGAATCCAGCGACCTCGATGGGTGCAGAGGCAGGCTGATGCCACTATATTCGGATGTTGTAGGCTTCTTGCAATGGTGAACTCCGACTTGATCTTGTTTTCGTAATCGTTTTCGTTTTCATCCTGGCTGCGCTTTCGGAACTCTTTGACAGCATACAGATCTTTGCGCATCTCTCTTCTATACATGATCTTGATAGTGGCTGTGGATCCTTTGCCGACTTGTCTTCCTCTTCTCCCAGGGACCACACTGCTGCTGACAAACACATCGTCGAGCTCAAATGTCTCTGCATGAATATCATCCAGATCACCTTCCCGTTTGGCTTTCGACCGAGCACGGGTAGAAGTTCTCTTGAACTGGCCTTTGAGGTCGTTAAAGGTCGGAAGTTTCAGTGGAGGTAAGTTGCGTTGATTGGGCGTGCCAATATTCAGTTTGCTTGAGCCCGTGCCAGCTCTCATCAGTTTCCTCAAACTTCCAAACCTTAGAGAAGAGTTAGAGGAACCGGTATTCATCTCATACGGAGAACCCTGTCCGTGTGGTGTATCTGATCTTAAATCCGTCAAGGTTGTGGATGCCGGTGCGGATTTAGATGGAGACGGCGTCTTTTCGCGGCCAGAAACAGCCGGGGTAAAATGATTACTTGTACGTTCCCGGATGCTTGAACTCGTCCTGCGACAGAAATCGCTGAAAGAGTTCGCTGTCAACTTGGACGATTGGGTTGGCTGTAGTGTCACGGTCGACGACGAAGATGTAGATGATGGACTATGTAAGAAAGACGAGGGACCCTCTCCATTGGTCAATGGCAGATCCATCATCAGCGGACGAGTCGTATTAGTTGAGTGACGCGGCATTTTATTCGAGGGACCCTCGCCGTTGTCCATCCACAAATCCAGCAGCAGTGGACGCGACGTGCTAGTTGAATGACGCGACATCGTAATTGAAGGGCGTGGAAATGACTTCCAGGCATCGGTGATATCGAGACTTTCGTTTTCACGGTTATTCTCCGAGAGAAGGCTGGGTTGCGCTTTATCTCCGACATGTAGCTTCATATCAACGGGTGAGGGTCTTCTAGACGGGTGCATCGAGTTGGAATAAAGGAAGTTTTCGTGCTCTTGTAGGAGCTCGCTCTCGACCATGGTGATTGATGCGTGTTCGGCCATAACGTTGATGGGAACCAAGAGGTTCCAGGACAGCTATGCGACAGATACCTGGATATCGACTAGTTAGCTGGTATAGTCGTAGTATGACAGTATCTTCAGGAGCTAACTCACAAAGCTATAGCAGATTTCTGACAAAATAAGAGGGGATTAATTGAAGGCGATAAACAGAAAGGGGAGAAGCAGAAAGGTAGCGTTGTCGGAGGAAGAAGATGGACGGCTTTCCAAACGGGGAAGGCAGCAGCCCCCAGGCAACGCCCTATTACAACCAGAACCAGTTCGCAGTCCAGACGGCAATTACGCAAATATAGCATTATTTCGTTCATATAGTGAGCTACATTCGGTAATGTATTTGTAGGGACCATGAAATGGGTTATTTTATTTCAGTAACACTGTCAGCTCTGGTTCCATTCATCTGATATTGAGGGCTATCCCAGAACTCCAGACCGTCACCAGATGAAGTTAGTCATGTTATGCCAGACCCGATGTAGGACAGCTATTAGGGTGCATGACGATCAAGGCACTGCAGGGCAGTTGGCTCGGAAACCATCAATATAACAACCTGCGCCGTGTATACCATGTCCCGTTGCAAAGAGCAACGATGGAGCCAGTGCTGTAAGGCCGGTCACAATTGAGACTCGGCCATGGAGTTGCCATACCCTCCAGTGTTGAATCGATTGAGGCGTACGGAAACACGCATCAAGCGTGCTACCAAGTGACACGGTACACAGTTGTCCAACTTTGGCTATGAGCCATGGACAAGAAATGCCTTGAAACCGCGACTTCCCGGTGCCGAAAAACGTGACAGTGTGGACGCCCACCGGTGCCTCTTGGGTATTCCGTGCACCCATCTGACCTAGTCGATAATTGCTATCCCTTGAGCGGTGGGTGGGAGTGAAGCTGTCACAACGCCAGTATGTCCATCTAAAAAGAAAATCGCGGCTAGTTTCCACACCAGCTGCCCTCACTTCATCCGATGTCTCTTAGGAACGTCTGTGCCGAACTCGAGGATTTTAGCAGCAAAGAACAATAGCCGATCCACGACTAGAAATCCTGAATACCCGTCTCCCCTTGTAGCCGCGAGTCAATATCACCTCCATTCTCGTCCTCAATCGCCCATTCCGGTTCTTCATTGTCAAAGTATTGCTCTTGCGCCTCGTTCCAATCATCGTATTCGTCATTCTCGTCAACCGTCGCATAGTCAAAGTCACGATTCTCGCCCTTCAAAAACCGCATTGTCATCTCCCAACACCACTGCTTCTCTCCCTCTTCTTTACTGGAGGGTATTTCGTCTCTGTCTTCCGCCAGAATTTCCCCGCTGGGACCGCGTTTATAGCTGAACATGGCGTGGGGATCCGGGTGCGCGAGGGCGTCCATTTTGGCTTCCGAGCGTAGCAGGTCCGCTTGAAGGATTCCCGAAAATCCTTTAGTCCGTCCTTCTGCTTCTCTTTCTGCTGTTGATTGGAAACGTCGGATGAGGCGATCGTATAGTAATGGGTCTGCAGGAGCTGCGCATTAGCTTAGAGTCACCACCAACAACCAGGATCGCAAACACGATCAGTCGTTTAATAAATGAAACAACGAGGAAAGAGCAAGACGACCGGCTAGTTCGAGATCCGCGGAGAAGTATTCGGGATGCATATCCAAGTAGCGCTTCCGGCGGTTCTTCACGCGCATCTCGACGGAAGGCTGCGACGACTGGGACTCGGACTTGACATCCTCCCGGTCATGGTCCATTTCCGTCTCGAGTCCTGTGCCCATAGGGAAATGCGGCATAATGGTTTGGATCGTTGAGTGTTGGTGGTGAAAGAGGAATGGCGTCAAAAGGAAAGGCGGCGAACCGGCGGACCAAAAAGGCCCCGTCATCTCCGGCAGTTATCCAAGCAACAGCAAATAACAATCCGCGCAGGCCAGAATATGGAGATTCAGCTTTCTATCTGAGAAAAGATACCAAAATACTTGTAAGTACAGCTTCTAATTGCTTCAAGTTGTGTCCCTTCATTGCTACTGTTCTGGCATGTTGGGTTGTGCTCCAATCGGCGTTTCCGGTATATTGGCAGAGAGCAAGTAATAAGAGACAGACCCCAAGGAAATAATGGGATTGTATTGACAACTTCTTCTAGTTTTGCCTTACGAGGTCATTCATTTTCCATTGAGGTTTAAAAGGAGAACTTCAATTTGACAAGTGTCTCTCACCATGCCGTCCATCGACGAAGTGATCCAACGGGCCAACCCCAAAAAGGTGTTCACAGGCGTGGCATTACTGGTTCTCACTGCCTTCTATTCCCCAATCTTCGTGTTGACTTTGGCGCCTGTGTATGGATCCGCCCCGGCAAGCATCTTCCATAACTATGGTGCGGCACTTACTGGCGCTGCCGGATGGTTCCTGAAGGACAAGGTTCAGCGACTGACGAACCGACGAGCGGTCTATTTACTTCCGGTGCTGGCGCTCTGGGTTCCTGCAGTTGAGTATTTATTGCTTCAGCAGAGCGCAGGGCTTGGGAATCCAACTGGTCCTATCATCACGGGTCTGCTCAGCTACTATCCGTTGGTGTTTCTCTCCGTTGCCTGCGCTGGCAAGCTTATCCAGACTGGGTTGAGATTGGAACAGGAGAGCGATGTCCTCGCTGAACATGTGCCTCTCCTCACGTCTTACGCCATCTACTCCGCAGGAGAGCATTTCGCGAACGCATTCATCGCCAAGTTCATTGGCACGATTTCGCTGTTCTCAACTGCCGGTCTGCAGCTTCTGGTTACGCTTGCGTATGCGGCTGTCGTTCCATCAAAGCTGTTGCTCCTGGCCATTCCGTCGGTCCTTTTCTCGCTCACCTCCAATGTGCACATGCCTTTTGGCCACCCGACCAACGCAGTGAATGCTGCTCTTCAGCATGAAGGTTACGAATTACTGACCCGACAAGACTCAACCACCGGTTACATTTCCGTTCTAGAGAACTTCCATGACGGCTTCCGCGTCATGAGATGTGATCACAGCCTGCTTGGTGGACAATGGACGCGGTCGCCACAGACTCATGCAGCCCCGGTTCACGACCCTATCTACGCGGTTTTTACCATGTTGGAGTCTATCCGTCTGATTGAGACTGACCATGGAGAGGCTCGAACGGATGAGAACAGCAAGGCACTTGTCATGTAAGACGCTGCAATCAACAACTGCAAAACGAGCAGTTTTGGCTAATGATATACAGTGGACTCGGTGTTGGCACGCTCCCCGCTGCGTTGATCAACCACGGTATCGAAACCACAATCGTGGAGATTGACCCCGTCGTGCACAAGTTCGCCAGTCAGTACTTCGGCCTGCCTTCGAACCACATCGCAGCTATCGAAGATGCTGCCGTTTTCGTGAAGCGCTCCCAAGTCTCCGAACCCGCCAAGTATGATTATATCATCCACGACGTCTTCACAGGAGGTGCCGAACCCGTCGACCTCTTTACCATTGAGTTCATCCGCGGTCTGGCTGCCCTTCTCAAGCCAGACGGAGTAATTGCCATTGTCAGTACCCCACCCCAACCATTCATCGCCCCATACCACTAACAAAAGCTACAGAACTACGCCGGCGACCTCAACATCTACCCCTCCGGTCTCGCCGTCCGCACCATCCGCGCCGTCTTCCCAACTTGCCGCATCTTCCGCGAAGAAGCCGCGCCCGAATCCAACACCGACTTCACCAACATGATCATCTTCTGCAAGAAGAGCTCCGCCACCCCCCTCACTTTCCGCGACCCCGTGCCCTCCGACTACCTGGGCAGCAACTTCCGCCGGTCTTACCTGGTTCCGAAGCATGAGGTTGACGTGTCGAAGTTTGCGGACCATCATCACCATGGTCGGCCGGTGTTGATTGCGAAGGAGACGGGAAGGTTGCATAAGTATCAGGATCGGAGTGCTTTGGAGCATTGGGGTATTATGAGGGATGTTGTTCCTGATGCGGTTTGGGAGAATTGGTAGTTCTTTGTTTACTGGGGGGTTATCATGGATGAGGGGGGTTGGTAGCTGGTTGGGGTTTTGCTGTCTTTGCATAACGATAAGCAGGATTTTGCTTGATATGTAGTTTGTAATATAGTTTGGCATAAATTGGAAAATATATCTCATTTGAGAAACTGACGGTCAATAATAAGTGTTCAATTGTACACGTTGCGTTGGGTGAGTAATATATAACCCAGTCCCCATTTAGCAACAACAGTGGCAGCAGAGAACATAAACATCTAAACCTTGACCTCCAAAGTATTCACTATTAAATGCTTCAAAATCAAACTCAAAATTGGTATTCACATTGATCTTCATAGCAGCGCTAATGAGACACCATGTCCAATAAACAACAAATAAAAATAAAAATAAAAAAAAATCCACACAGTGCAAAGGGGAATAAATAAACTAAATGAAGTAACTATTCAGACGACACCTCTTTTCTTTCCTTCCCTCATTCCATGTCCTCTCTATCCCAGCAAAACAGGCCAGCCCAAAGCGTATCGTTATCCATATCCATATCCATCTACCGTAGACCAACGACAGCAACAACCTTAATGCCCGGATTCTATCTATGTACGGCGTGAATGGTGAAAACGTGGTAATGTGTACAAACCAAAAGGGAAACAATGAAAGAAAATATCGCGTGGAGGGAGAGGAAGGGGGTGGTGTGTAGAGATCGGAATCGTAAGGTGAATGTTTGATTATGTTGAAGGACTCCCGCGAGACTGTGGCTTGCGGACCAGACCGGCGAAGAAGTCTGCGAGGGCTTGGTTGTGCGCTTTCTCATCCCCGGAGGATACCAAGGCTTCTTTTCCTCGTTTGGCTTCTCGTTCCTGTAGTACCAATGGTTAGAATGCCGTTAGCAATGGACCGAGGGGTGAACTGCTTACCTTGATACCCTGTAGCGAGGCATCAACATCTACTTGGATACCATCTTTGTTATACTCAACGGGACCAATATACTCATTGACCCGCCCGTTATTATCCAGAGGGGACATCTCCATCTGAGGCATCTGGTGCGCTTCCCTATCCTTATCATCCTCCTGTTTCTGCTTATCAAGGACTTCCAGTTGCTTCGCAAGGAAGCTCTGCATATCCGAGGTCTCAACTTCCACCTTGTTGTCGCTTTGTTGCCGACCAGGGGGTGCGATCGAGTAATCCCGCTTGGGGTCTTTGATCGTTTGCTCGAAGATTGCTACTGCGCTGGAGCCGTCTTCTGCTTCGATACCATCCTGCGGTGCGTCTTCTGCGGGCTCGTTATAGTTGAGCGGTTCGGGTGGGTCTTGGATTTCGATTGACCATGCGGTCGATACGCCTTCCATGTCGAAGCCTTCTCTGATAATCCGGATCTTGCCCCACGAGTCCCAGTTCGAGGGGACCAGGATCTTGTCGCGGTCGATAACGTTATGTTTAAGCGATTGTCTCTTGAGGAGTGAATGTATCCCGAGGGAGGAGTGTAACAGGCTTTGTAACGAGTTCGCAAGGAATGGGGTCGTGTAGATGAGTGATGCGCCATCTGCCAATTTGTCAGTACTCGTTGGAAACGTTTGGAAAGGCGCAGACATACGCTTGAGAAGAATCGTTCTCATAAACTGAAGGATAAAGTCAAACTCCTCCTCGTGCCAACCGTGCTCCTTTTCGAGCTTCTCGATTTTATCGGCCTGTCCCAAAGCGGAGGTTCGTCAGCATGCGAATCCTTTCATTCTCGTCTTCAGTCGATATACGTACCCCCTGACAAACCACACACATCGGAATCCCCAGCGGTTCATCCCATTCACCAGAACCCAGAGGTATCGTAACCGGTCCCCCAGAGCTAGTCAACCCCTGCGCACCCGCGGAACTCGAATCCATAGCCCTCTTGCGATCCCTCCATTCAACCATTGTTTCCTCCATAGCAATCTTCGTCGGGTCATCGAGCGAAATCAATACCTGTCGAAGGAGACGGATCCATTCTCTCAGTCGCCGGACCCATGTCCACGGGTCTGACCAGTCCAACAGGAGCACGACCAATGTTTCCGGGACGGACTGAGGGGTCAAGAGCGGTTTGAGGAGGGGGGCAAAGGACGGTGAGGGTTCGGAGAGAAGGTATGCGGAAACTCGTGCTAGGGTATCTTTTGGGACAGTCTGTTAGCCGGCGAAAGGTGCCAATATTTAGAACAGATGTCTGGTCACCTTCTTGATCAGCATCCAGCACATCTTGATATGTGTATCCCAGTGCGAACTGGTTGGCGATTGGCGGTATCCTCCCTTTGCGCTTGTCGTTTGATAGACCAGGTTCCGATGTATCTGCAGAAAATGTCTCTAGGAATTCTCGCTGGCTCTCCGGTGTCCCTCCTGTAGATGAATAGATTAGCACCTCTCAAAATCCACGTCCTGCGCAGGCCAAAAGCAATCGAAGATGCTCCTCCGCAGTCGAAAGAAGATGCCACGAACCCAGTATCAACAGATTCTTCTCCGGCAAGCGCTTCCCATTCGCAACATTATCCAACATGGACGACCAGATATTCTTCTTGGGCCCATCTTTGCTGGATGGTCGACTGTTCGACCGGGTGTCAAATGTCGACATGATCCGATCCGTTCGATCTCAACGCCTCAACCCGCGCAGACCATTCCAATACAACAATAAATTTCCCAAGGAAATTCGACTTAGACGACGCGTAGACCTCAAAGCGAAGTTGTTGGCAAATCAATCGGGTGTCGGAGCGGAAGTTCCAAGTCAGGGGAATCTTTGGAGGGCGGAATATTAGCGGTGCAGGTAAATTGGATATAAGCCAGGCTTTGGGACGAAAGAATCCCGTGGCCGTGCTAATAACGTCTCTTGTCACGGGGTGCCAGAAAAGTGTGGTGAACGTAGGGTGCGTTAGTCGGTCACTGTTCGGCCAGCACGGAGGTTGGATTGTATGGAGGGTCTCTCGCTGGTAAACAAGCGGACGCAGTTTCGCCCGCCGGTGCTGGGTGGAACCTTGCGCGGAGGCCCGTGAAGAACAGCGACGACATCCTTTTCCTCATCACTAACGCGCTCTTGCACCCAACCAAGAAGCTATGCAGCTGTCTAATTATTGATATTCATATTCTAGCTCTGCAAAATGAACAATATCCGCCAGATTCAAGCGCTCAACAAGCGCGAGCTCGAAAACGCAGTGTACGTCCCATCCTCCAGCTGCTACCAATCTCAATCCCTAACTAACTCCGGATAACCAGACCCCCCGCAGCATCCTGGCACGCAGACTACCGCGACACAGCCTATATTTACATCGGCGGCCTTCCATTTGACCTCTCCGAAGGAGATGTGGTAACCATCTGTTCGCAATTCGGAGAACCAGTGCACGTGAACCTCGTCCGCGATAAAGAAACAGGAAAAAGCCGAGGTTTTGCATTCCTGAAATACGAAGACCAGCGCAGTACGGATCTTGCTGTTGATAACCTAGGCGGGGCGACGGTTCTGGGAAGACTAATCCGTGTGGACCATGTGCGGTATAAGCGACGCGATGACGAGGAGGAGGGTGATAATGTTGCACGGTTGATGGGGGATGATGTTCCTAGTGATGCGGCAGATCGAAAGAAGAGGAGGGGTAGTGAAGATGAGGAATCTCGGAGACGACCGCTGCTCAAGGAGGAGAGGGAGTTGGCTGCGTTGATTCAGAATCATGATGATGAGGATCCGATGAAGGAGTTTTTGATTGAAGAGAAGAAGGAGGAGGTCACGCAGGCGCTGGAGAGAATGGGAAGCAGTGAGAAGAAGTCTTCCCGGCGACGAGATGATAGCAGGGAACGATCAAGTCGGCATCACCGTCATCACCGCCGTAGGCGTGACGAGGATCGAGTGCGCTCCCACTCCCGCTCTAAGGACAGGAGGCGTCGCGATGAACGGTCACGATCTAGGGAAAGGAGGTCTTATAGGGACAAGTCGCCGTCAAGGAGGGAAAGGTCTGACAGAGATCGGTCACCTAGGAGGTCACGGTCGCCTGGATCACGGCGACACCGGGATAGACACGACCGTCGGCGTTGAGTATTCGGGTCTGGCATCATATATTATTCTATCTATGTGATATCCTAATCTGCTCTGGTTGTAATTGACCACAAAGGAAAAGCCGATAACCTCTTCGCCCAAGATCAAAAAGAAACTCGCGAGCTCATGAAAAGGCTCGACTCAGTACGCCGAGGGCATGGCAGTCAGCAATAATATGCGTTGATGATTCCTGCGCATCCACATCTTCCTTGACGTTGTCTGCTGCGACATAACGAAACAGTGGGGGAGAAATTAACTCTCGAACCTCATGCAAGAGGGAAATCATACCACAATTGGGGGGAGGGGCAAGCTTAGATAGGACTTGGAAAGTAATCAATCCCAATCTTCACGAATGGCTTCAACCACCCAAATATCTCTTCCAACCTTCTCTTATACAATACCGTTTCCCATCATCTCCTTCACGAATGACGAATCTTTCCCATCGTCCATCACGACCTGCGCCAATGATCAAGATTGTTTGGTCGTCGGACCAGCCTATGACACCCTTTTGAGGTCGCGCAAACGAGGTCCCAAGAGGCGGAACATAGCCCAGCGGTCCTTCGTCACCAATTTCAAAATGTGCACTTGCAAATGAGTATACGTCTGAAAACACCCTGGGAAGCAGGGGTATTTTGCCAAGGATACCCCATTTCTGACTGGTCCCTTCTTCGGACTGCGACGAGGGTGACTGGCTACGGTATGCTGAGTTGCGTGGGTTAGGAAGATCGAAGACATGAAGTGTTGACTTGTCCGATGTAACGGCTAGCATATTGTTGGAAGGAGAGATGGCCAGCGAGAAGATCACTGCGTGGTCCACTCCTCGTCGTAATTCGGCCATCTTGGTGCAGTTGCTTGTAGAGAATACCCGTATCAATGTACCCTGGGAGTTCCATAACACTCAGTCAACCGATACCATGTAAAAGCATGCCGGGCTGTCATATCTACTTACCGCTTCACTTGCTGTTGCCAGCACTTCGCCGTCAGGACTCAACGCCATAGCTCGCAGAGGTGTACTGTGTGCCGGAATGATACTGACATTTCCGGTCTCGATTTCCACCAGTTGGACTTGCCCCGGAGACCGACCCGGGAAGGCAAGCAACTTCTGCCCCAGACAAGCCAGCCCCATTGGATTATCCGATGTCTCAAAAACCGAAAGTTTGCTCGGAGGGTTGGGGAAGGCGAAGATATGGATGCTGTTGAGTAATGCGACTACAATGCGCGACTTTGATAGACGCACGCCCAGGACCGAGGTGCGGAATTCGAGATTAATGACCCCTTTCTGCTTTACATCGTCCCAGATAACCAGCTGGGGGTAGACGTGAGTATTTCTTCGTTAACAGGAACATAGCACATCAGATGCGCACCTTATTCTGAGGGAACTTGGGTTGTTTCCCTCCTCCGACAATGGCAAGGAAGTTATACTGGCCCATCATTTCCACTACCCCAATGCCAGCGTTGAAATCTATAGCCACATGGTTTAAGTCCGAATCAGACCACGAGAGTCTCATAGAAGCAAAGTAGCATACCTCTTGACACCTTGAGTTCGCATGGATCGGTAGTGAAGACTATTTGTCGATCAGGGTATCTTAGTATCAATTGTTTTACATGGACGGGGACAGCAATAGCGAATACTTACCGCAGAAGCCTGTATCCAAGCCAACGGAGAAGCAGCTATTATCACTATTAAAGGCAGTCGAGAGCGAAACGGGCCCCACGGATTCGTCAATAACCTGTCGGGTATTCATCTTGATAACGACTAGAAGCTACCCCAGAGCTTCGGTGAGGTCAATGATGGGGTATCGGTACGTGGAAACAAGAGCAAACAGCACGAGTGCAGAGGCTTATGTTGGATCAGTCCTCTTCATCAATCAAGATTCTTCCTGTGCTCGTAGAATTTGGGACATGGACAGGGAGAAAGCGATATGATGATGTCCAGATCTCCCGAAGGCAGCACCAGAACTCCGCCTTAACTCCGGGGCAGGAGGCACTAGTCCTGATTTGGTTAGATGGGGATCCATTTACATTGTCTTGATGCCTTGGGCCAAAGTGCATTGATACTCTCCGCAGTGCATGGAGCTTTATTACCCCAAGGATAAGGTATTCAAGAATCTTCAATGCATTCAATTTTGTTATAAATCTCTCATGTCTATGTACGCCATGCTAACGCCGTCGTGTTATGCCCATACCAACCCGTATACACTGCTCCGTAGTATGCTCCGTAGTCATACGTGACTAGTCGTATCCAGTAGACCCAAGTATCTGTCATGACCTCAAATGTGAGATCCAATCAATACATCTCAGCAGACAGGAATGATTATCCCTTCTTCCTTCTGGCCGCTCTGCCTTGGACAGCAAGCCCTCCATACTCTGCTTCCCTTTCTCTTTTTCTCTCACGCCCCTCTAAATCACCGGAAGATCCATCCTCCCGTGCTTGAGTTGATTCTTGAGCCTGTCTCCGCATCCTACTCCAAACATCCGGATCCAAAAATGGCTGCGGGGCCTTGGAGAAATCGCACTCGATAATCACCGGGCGACTTCTTTCTTGCTGGTCTTCTTGAACATTATCATTCTCTGAGAAGGCAGGTTCTCGGATCTGGATGTCGGCCGGTTTGGAGCTGGGATTTAGACAGACGGAGCATTGGGAGGACTGCGGCCGGAGGAGGGGACGCTTGGCGGGAATAATGCGGGCTCTGGTGGTAGATGACATGTGGTCTGATATGTAACAAGGCATTCAGTAAGCATCAAGCTATTTAACATGGCGAGTGATTATTGAACGCCCTCACTTGGCCGAGAGGGGATCATAATGAGGAAGAAAAATGTCCGGCGAGAGTTCTGGATACAATTCACTACGGCGGCCCGCAACGACCCACTTGGAAGAGGAACCCCTGAGTACAAGGATGACCGTACCGTATCGTCATGTATTATTGGGGTACAATGCAGCATACAGAGTACAAAAACAGAGTACACAACAATAATGAATTCTATATAGACATTGAGATAAAGAGGAAATATATACAAAAGCATTGATCTCTTCTACACCTGTGCTCCATGTACTGTGGGTAGCTGTACTCCGTAGTTAGAGCTCCTGATTACCATATGATACGTGCCATTGTATGGCAAAATTACAGGCCTGGTCCTTTCCATCTGGAGAAAAGCAATGACATCTCTCATTGGCTGGAGGGAAAGGGGGAAACAGCCTGGGAAATCACCCCTAATCGGACCTCAACCACCACCTGCACCATCGCTCTGTCTTCCTCTCTCTTTCTCTCTTTCTCTCCTTCTCTCTCTTCCCTTTTCTTTGACTTTGATTATATACGCAGCTTCAGTCTCAGGAGAGCTCTCTCTCCTTCTTTCTGTTGCCGTTCTTTCTCTCCTTCCCCTTCGCTCACCTCGACGTCTTCCCCCCTCCCCCCCCCCCCCTCTTTCGCTTCCGCTCTTCGTCCAACCGGAAGAGGCTCAATCCTTCAATTCCACCCTTTCCATTGATTTCCTGTTATTGGACCTCGTCTGTCAGAGCCCACCATGTCGTCGGCCTTGAACGCGGTATGTCCTGTTCTTTGTTTTGGTTGTGGTGTTTGACTGAGCTATGGGCAATTGCGGCTTCCTGTTCAATGCTTCTGTGCTCTCGAACACGTCGCAGCTGATGAGCTTTTTGTTATGTTTTGAACTCGTTCTGATTTCAGATAAAGCTCCGTCGCAAGAAGAATGTCAAGAAGGGAATCCAGTTCTGTCTGATGGTCTGCGGTGCCAGCGGAACAGGTATGTCATGTCCGCGCTATCCCCATGTTTGCCCAATGGCATGCCACTGACAACCTATTTTTTCTACTTTGCTCTAGGACGCACGACCTTCGTCAACACACTCTGTGGACAGCAAGTGCTGGAATCGAAAGATGCCGATGATGCTGCCAACGCCCATATCGAGGAAGGAGTCCGCATCAAGCCCGTCACAGTTGGTAAGATTTGCGTGTCCACACGTCCTTGGTCACCGTGGTGCTAATTGGGAGACCAAGAACTCGAGTTGGATGATGAGGGCACCCGAATCTCTCTTACCATTGTTGATACCCCGGGATTCGGTGACCAGATTGACAACGAAGCAAGGCATGTGGACCCACGACTTATCCCAGACCATGACTCGATAACAGGACTGACCCTTTCATTAGCTTTGGTGAGATTGTCGGATACCTCGAGCGCCAATACGACGACATCCTGGCCGAAGAATCGCGGATTAAGCGTAACCCCCGCTTCCGGGACAACCGTGTGCACGTCCTCCTGTATTTCATCACACCAACCGGCCATGGTCTCCGTGAACTCGATATCGAGCTGATGAAGCGCCTCTCGCCCCGTGTTAACGTCATCCCCGTCATCGGAAAGGCCGATTCCCTTACTCCCGCCGAACTGGCTGAGTCCAAGAAACTGATTATGGAAGACATCGAACACTACCGTATTCCTGTCTACAACTTCCCTTACGATATCGAGGAGGATGACGAGGACACTGTGGAGGAGAACGCGGAATTGCGTGGATTGATGCCGTTCGCCATCGTTGGCTCGGAGGACTTTGTGGAGATCGACAACCGGAAAGTGCGCGCCAGGCAGTACCCTTGGGGTGTTGTCGAAGTTGAGAACCCACGACACTCGGATTTCTTGGCTGTTCGAAGTGCTTTGCTCCACAGTCATCTCGCCGACCTCAAGGAGATCACCCACGACTTCCTCTACGAAAATTACCGTACCGAGAAGCTCAGCAAGAGCGTTGATGGTACTACTCCGTACGTGACCCCCTTCCGTTTCTTGTGTCATTTCTCTTCGGACTGAAAACTAACGATGTCTACATTAGTAGTAGGACCCAAGATTCTTCGATGAACCCCGAAGACCTCGCATCTCAATCCGTGCGCCTTAAGGAAGAACAGCTCCGGCGTGAGGAGGATAAGCTCCGCGACATCGAACTTAAGGTGCAGCGCGAGATCGCTGAGAAGCGGCAGGAGCTCCTGGCTCGCGAGAGCCAACTCCGAGAGATCGAGGCTCGCATGGCACGCGAATCAAGCCAAGGTCAGGCCGACGGTGCCAGTGGAGAGGCTTAAACCAGACCCTATCGAACCAACTGGCGTTTGTTCTGAAATGAGACACGGCTTCGCGGGTTTTAACATCATTTTGTGCCAACGTAATGGAAATCTGGGGCACAAAGGTAGTAATTACTCTATGGGGATAATATTGACCGTTTATTCACGTTAATAGCTTTTTTTCTTTTTTTTCTTTTTCTTTTTTTTTTTTTTTTTTTTTTTTTTCTTTTTCTTCTTACCTTTATTGAAGAGGGGGGAGGCCAAATGCAGCACTCGTTCGGTCCCTTGACCTCGACTCCTGTAGGAGGATTGAACAGGTCATAACGATCTGGATGTTGCACCAGCCCTTTCTCTCGATTCCTTCCTTGGTCGTTCTTCTTTTCCTTCGAGTGGAGATTCGTTTCTTGTTTTTACAGCGCCCGTGTTGCCATGCTTGGGGTCAGATAACATCCTTTTAATTGTTGACAACCGGAAGCAGTTTTTTTTCTGCATAAACCTTTTATTCGGATTTTTTCCTTTTCTGTTTTGTGTTTTGTTCTGTCATGGCACCTGTTCCAATTGAAGCAGCGCAGCAAGATTCCCTCTTCATTTATCTTTTGTGTGTTTCTATTATTATTCTATGTCTTCCTAGTTGATAGTAGTATTCAATGAAGAAAAGTCCCATCTACATCTATTTTCAAATCGCCATAGACAAAAAAAAGCAGTATCTATATTCTTTACATATCAACGTCAAGACAGACAGAGCCTGGATTTTGACAGATGGCAGTAACCATGCCGAAACGAAAAAGGACAAGAAAATAGAAACAAACATTATACGAGCCAACAGGATGGAGGGAAACAGATGTAAAACAAAAAAAGCAAAAAGATATAAGAACAAGAATAAACATGTGGTATTTTCGCTTCATTGTACACAGAAGAAGTGGGCAAATGAATCAAGATAACCCAGTACAGATCGAAGAAATGGAGGTATTAAAAAGAGATGTGTGACAGACCAAGAAAAAAAAGGAAAGGAGGTAGAAAAAAAGATAGAAGGGAAAAGTAAAAGTAGTCCCAGAAAATGACAAGAGACTCACTCTCCCTAAGTGCAATGGTGAAAAGGGGTTGGTTGGTGTATGTATAAAAAAATAAAACACAAATTGGGGGAAAAGATGACGATAACCTTCCATATCCATGGCGAGTGACCGACCTAGTTCTGCGGCGCCTTGCTCCAGAAATCCAAACTGGCGACCACGTCCTCCCCGGTTTCGTTTTCGTAGGCGTAGAGAATCTGAGGGCGAGTTAGCAAACCGTACGTTTGTTTCCGCTATCATAGTTCCGACTCACCTCTCTTGTTGAGGAATGCAACATGCGAATGTTTTTGCCCGTCATTATGTGGATCAGTTCACTCGTCTCGATGTGTCTGATCTCAATGAAGTTGGGCTCAAAAGCAAGGATGTAGGGATAAGAAAGCGCGAATGCGTTGGGATTACCCTCCCAAGAAATCCTCCAGTCAGGTCTAGCGCGCCAGCCATTGCGGTTGACGAAGAATGAGAAGTCGCTGTAGTTCAGAAGGAACTCTCCGTTCATTCGTTCGATGTGGATCGGCTTCACGTTTTCTTTCTTTGCAACGAAATCAAGCGAAGTGTCGGCTTGGTCGAGCAGGGATTGGGTCTCGGTGGTTTCGAGACTGACGACTTCGAAGCCACGAGCACAGCCAACGCACAGCGTCGAGCGCAGGAAATGTATCGAGGACGATTCCGCTGGGATGTAATATTCCTAATGGACACATTGTGTTAGTGATATCATTAAGGATAGAGAAAGACGAAAGAATATACGAACCTTGAACGGCTTGAGTGTGTCCTGTCCACTCTGGAACATCTTACTAACAGCAGACTTCTTCTTTCCCTTGGCAAGATTGTCCATCGGCTCATAGACCTTGATGGTTGTCGACAGAGCAGAAGTCTTGACAGAGCATACCAGATGGCGACCAAGACCTATGCCGGCTTTGAAGAAATTGGCATGGCCTTGAATTTTCTTGGGCCTCTTGGACAAGGTGTTTTGACCTTCCACCACCTCAAGAGTCTCCAGCGGGAAAGAAGAGAGTGTCTTGTTTGCCAAAACCAGGAGAAGCTGATATTCCTCCAGGGTATCGATCTGAGTAACCTGACTGACATCAAGCACCTTCCTTGGTTTTGCGGACTTGTCCTTTGGCCAACGATCTGAAAGGTAGATACCACTGTCTGTGCCGTAGACCAATTTCCGACCACCGTCTGAAAAAGCAGAAATGTAAGCGTCCATACAATGAGAAAGAAAAGAAAGACAACTTACCGACTGGAACAAGACAGTTCACCCGGTTAATAGATGTAAAGAAGTGCTCACACAGCACTGTCTTGTTGTAGAAGTTGCTGTTTCGCTCTCTGAGCTTCCGTTGTTGTTCCTCCACCATCTCGATGAATTTCCTTCTTTGAGTTGGCGACGTAGCATACAGTGTCTGCTCATAGCCACCTTTACCAAGATGCCTGAACGTGATAGGAAGTCCGTCTTTCGTTGACGGAGGATTGACAGCAGCCTTGTTGGAAAGCAGGCTGGACGAGGGGCGTTTCGAAATTCCAACCCTCGGAATCACTTCATCCATCTGCGCGATCACCAGGAGCTCCAGAGGAATAGGTTTCCTGTAGACTCGATACTCTTCACGCTTATTGACAACCTTGATCCTGACTAGCAGCACCGCGTGGTCAAAGAGATACGCAGTAACCTCCGAGCTGTCGGTTGGCGTCTTCTTGAATGCCATCTTCGTGAGCATCTGGCGATTCTCCTCTGTGAGCTTCAAATCGACATAGTCACCAGGATTGAACTTTAAGGATGAGTCGAGCTGCACGAGGTTGAAATGATTCTCCGCTCTTCCACTCTCAGTATTGACACGGGACAAGAAATCCTTGATAATTTTGATGGCTTGGGGAATATCTTGCTTGTCCTGGTTATCATCGCGCGTGCTCTTGAAAACCGATTCGAGGAGCAGTGGATACCGTGCCAGACGGGTGGTGGGCTTGGTCAAGTAACCATTCAGCTCCAGTTTGCGAGACTCCTTGAGACGTTCCGTTTCCTCCACGAATCGTGCAAAGGCCGGGTTTGACGCCTTCTCTTTCTCAAATTCGTACTTTCCATAAAGTTGGTTGGAACCATACTTGATAAAAGGTTCAAAGTTCGTCACATGTTGAAGGAAAACGTCGCCGACAGTATGCACGATATGGCTTTCCTTTTGCCGCATATTTAGAGCCTCACACAGAGCACTATTGACCTTGAGGACCTCCAAGCAGTTTCCAAACACTGTACGGATAAATTTCTCTCGTCGATGCTCTGGAATTGGAGAAAGATTGGCATTGCCCGCAGAACGCAACGGCCGCATCCAGAAGTCCCGCAAGTATTCCAAGTCCTTGACAAAGTCACGTTCTGTGTACATGAGTTCGAAAATAATCTCTTGGCGCTTCTTCTGTTTATCGTCGATAGAGTCCGACACCTCTTTTGGAACCATGTTGATCCACAGTTTCTGGTCGTCGTTGTCATCGTCACCATGCAAGCTGCCCTTGGAGGCAGATGTGCGCAATCCTGGCTGAGGTTTGATATTTAATCGGGCCTGCTGCTCCAATCTTCGGGGGCATGCTATCGAGTAGCATAAGGTTTCGCGCGTGCACGTTGGCGAATAGCACTCGGTCAAAAGAGTGAAAACACCGTTCACATCGGAACTAGGGGCTTCCTCTCCCATGGTTTCTTTGAATTGATAAAGCTCACCAGTAGTATCCCGGAGACGATGGTCGTACGTCACATCATGGAAGAACTTCTGCGCATCGAGTGCCCGACCCAGCAAAAGAGCCAAATTCCGATCATTTGTCTTGACAATGTAGCCAATCATATCCACTGCCTCGGCACCGCTAAAGGCATTCTGATAGGATAATCCGTTCTTCTGCCGTTCACCAAGCGCGATCTTCTCCCGAAAGACATCCGCGACCCGGGAAAGGAGGGCCGGGTAGACCAAGGGTACTTTGCTGCGACGTGAAGTACTTGTGGCATGGGTGATTGTTGAGCCGCTGTGTTTGGGCTGCGACTGGCTTTGTATACTCATCGTCCGATCGGGGACAACAGTAGACGCCACTGACATGGTGGTGGAGGCCATAGACATGGAGCGGGAGTTCGTCGAAGCGTCGCTCGGTGTTCGGGATTTGCTATTTGTGTTGTGCTGTGCATTGACCTGCTCTGGTTCTTGTTTCATTGGGGGAGGCGGGGCTGGTCCGGACGGATTCCTCCTGGTCGGAATCACACGTCCAGTACTCGTAGTGAGTGACTGATCCCTATCGGCCGCATACGAGGTCATCGACATAGCGCGTTCATTTCCATGCCTTTCTGGTACGACCCGGCCTTGCGCAGTCATCGGAGCGGCAGGGTGGTAAGGTTGTTGGCGAAAAGCAGTGGCAGAAGTATGGTTAAAGCTACTGGGAGGCGGTCCATAAACTGGGGGTCCACCCATCCTTGCCATCGAGCGTGACCGGTAAGAGTCAGAATTCATGGCGGGGGGAGGCATCGGCCGACCGGACGCCTTCATATCCTGGTATTGGGAGCCTGGAGTCGGCCTCGAATCCAGGCGTTGAGGTTGTGGATAGGCAAATCGTCCTGGGTATGGCCGAGGAAGATTCTGCGGTGGAGGTTGCGCAGCGTTTCCGGGGTATGCTTGATAGTACCCATTGGAGGAAGCCGGCGGATAGCCATTCTGCACCTGGCGTGTAGGTTGCGGTGGAGCCCTTTGCATCTGGGGATGTGGCACATGGGATGACATGGTGTGAGCTCGGTCCTGAGAAAATTGGGGCGTCTGCGAAGTCATGGTCTGCGAACGTCCCGGTGGCGGTGCTCCGCCAAAGATCTCTGAAAATGCAGCATCTCGCTGGAAGTTAGAGGGGTGGCCGTAGGGCCGGTAGTTCCGGCCCTGTTGTCCCCCTAAATCCGCCATAGCCTATGATAGTCCTTTCTTTGCTTTCCCTTTTTAGGGTTCAAAAAATCACAAGACAAACCAACGACAGAATTTAATCAGCGAACCAATACGAAGCAAAGGAAAGGGTATCGGGATTGGTCGTAGAGAGCGTGCAAGAGCGTCGCGGGAGTCGTTCAAAATCGTGGAGAAAGGAGAGCGAAGAGAAAAAAAATTGAAGAATAACGATGCTCCACAAACTTTGACGTATAGACCAGCCAAAAGATAATAAGAAATTCTTGATACAAGAAAAGAAATGCAAGAGAAAATGAAAAGAGAAAAAAGAGGAAGAGAAAGAGGGACAAAAATCTCTTTTCAGTATCTCATGCCTCAAATGAATCCGAGCTCCGAGAAGGCCAAATTCCTAGCCTGACAACCGGACGTTGAAATCGCGTATGCGATATTATTTTAAACGACCGAAGTGCGCTAGGAGCCTTTGAGCGCAATCGCAAACCGGGCTCCTATCAGTTCATAACCTCACCATCCTCCACGGGGGGGCAATTCGGATCCGGGGGTAGGCGGAGAAAACTGTCCAGCAGGGAGCCGAGGCGAAGTTGAGAAAACCGGGAGACTCTTCTCAGGTAGAAGGAATATAGCGGCAGAGGAGACAGTAGTATTAAATTGGGTTGAGTATTGCGGGGGGTGAGGGGGGGGGGGGGGGGAGGGAGAAATATGGGAGAACTGAGCAGGAGGGAGGAGACTGCGAGGAGTAATAAACGACGGACGGAAGACGGGGGGTGTCGACAGGTCGTTAGTCGTCTAAAAACGGGCGTTGCCTTGGCGTAGAGACGATACTGAAGACGCAGAGTATCGTGGTAGTGATGGTATAGAGATGTCGATGGGAGGTCGAGGAGGTGATGATAGGAGTAAGAACTGTTGGTGGTGGAGGACCGGCACGGGGGTTTGTTGGGTGTCAGGCCGGATAGTCTTCGCTACGGTGGCCCGGACGGAGCAACTTGGTCTTCTGCATCAGACACTCTACGTACCAGCTCCGACTCTCTTCGACGTCGCTACTACACTGGACTATTATTTCGTTTTCTGTTTCTTTTCTCTTTGAATTTTTTTTATACGTACTTGGGTTTTTCTATCCGCAGTTTCTTCTTTCTTTTGCCTCCTTTCTAAACCGCCCCTGTTTGAAATTGGCACCATGTCGACCAGCGAGTACACACCAAAGTTCGCGCCTTTCTTCTCCTTTGTAAGTGACCTTGAGCGCGTTTGTTTCATGATATCTACTTTTTAATGCTGAACTAACAGCTACGTTAGGCGGGAATTGCGTCTGCAGTGAGTATTCCGTGACGTGCGTACGGGATGACGACTGTTTCGCTGACCATCGCTCGAAGATGATTTTCGGGTGTATGTTTTCTCACTAGAAGCTCGAGATTACGATTAGCAGGATGATAAAATGACTTACACGGTATACAGCAATGGGAGCAGCATATGGGACAGCTAAGGCCGGGATTGGTATTTCGGGTGTCGGGACGTTCAGACCGGATCTGATCATGAAGGCATGAGTCTACCCACAATATCGATCAAATACGGCCTGTACTGGTGTGCTGACTGGAGACAGTCCCTGATTCCCGTCGTCATGTCCGGTATCATCGCAGTTTACGGCCTCGTCATTGCGGTTCTCATCGCAGGAGATATGTCCCCACCGATAGGAACAACACCACCCACCAGCTTGTATACGTACGTTCGGCCATACGAATATGTTTCAGGGGCTAGGAATAATAACAGGATATACAGATCATTCATGCACCTCGCATCGGGACTGTCGGTTGGTCTTGCGGGTGTGGCCGCAGGATATACCATTGGGATTGTCGGAGACGCGGTAAGCAGTTGTGTGTACTACGCGTATCTTATGCATGTCACTAACGAATGTCTCAGGGTGTTCGCGCGTATATGCAACAATCCCGGGTTTATGTTGGAATGATCCTTATCTTGATTTTTGGCGAAGTTCTGGGTCTCTACGGGTATGTAGCATGGATGACGAAAGCTGGTTCGTATGCTGACAGAGAACAGTTTGATTGTCGGTCTGATTTTGAACTCGAAGAGCAAGCCTTGAATTGCACCTGCCATATCAAATGATCGGTTGCTCTCATTCGTCATTCTGCCTTGTTCTGTCGTTCGATTATCGTGAAAATGGACCATGTATTATGTACTCGTCGGCCGGATATTGGCATTCTCCGATGCTCGCACTATATTAAACTTCCAGACCCTGGTAGTGGTAATCATCATATGGACAAGGATATGGTCTACTAGCCCGGGTGTCAACGGAGAATCGGATGAGTTCCATCAAACATTGCTTTGACGCAAGATAATGTACCTTTGCCACCGGTTTGTCATGGCTCTTTTTCATGCGGCATGAGGATTAATTTGTCTAGACCTTTTGTGATGCAGTTGTATATTTATACCATGGTAACCCCCCGAACGATTCAGATGATAACAATAATGCCATTCACAGTATCGCATACTCGATTCCAACCAGCATGACGATACTAGAGGTGCTCTGTACTATAAAAAGCAATAAATGTAAGATGAGGAAAAAGTCGGGTAGATCTCGTAGTGACTATCCTTACTACTAAGTATATACCGAGGACAGCTGCTGCTTCTGCCCCACTGGGGGTGGTAATGTCATCATTCCCCTGTATTATCGCCGGCCAGCTCTGATGGCGGAGCAGGACCTCATTTCTCCCACGAAGCTCCTGAGCCCCCTGTCGAGTATCTCTGCTATCGAAATCCTCGCCTCAAATTTTATCAACCCTTATTTCGGTCTCAATTGTAACTCACGGTTCCTGACTCCAATTGCTCGTCCCGTCGTGTCTTCCTCCTATCCACCGCTCCCCCCCACACCTCTTCCCCGCTTGTCCTCCGAGACATGATCTCTTCTTGCCATTCCAATGGCTGCGGAAACCGTCGAATCCTCGACACATAAAAAGGTGCAAGGAAAATCGGTCCCTCCCAAGAAGCCGGAGTCGGGAGGCGCCCAAGATGCCCACGAGAGGGAAAAACAAATGGTGGCCTCCGCCCATCCGTCGCATCAACGACATATGAACCCCTTTACTGTCGCGGATCGCCCGGACCAAAAGCATCTGGGTGTATCTGCGAAGAATCTAAAAGTAGCCGATTTCGCGCTTTTGCGAACACTGGGGACGGGTAAGTCTCGGTTCGGGCTGCGGTCGTTTGTCCGGTGTCTGATCTGTTATCTTTCTCCGTGCAGGGACTTTTGCTCGAGTATGGCTTGCCAGATTGAAAGCGGATGAGAGAAAGGATAGGGTATATGCATTGAAGATACTCCGCAAGGCAGATGGTGAGGGTGGACCTTGCCTGTTGTGCTTCTATGGGGCTAACGCGTGACGTTGTCTATGTGCGCAGTGATCAAACTGAAGCAGGTCGAACACGTCCGCAATGAACGGAAAACACTTGCAGCTGTCTCCGGTCATCCTTTTGTGACGACCTTAATAGCATCATTTTCTGACACGGAAAGTCTATATATGCTGGTATGGTGTTCTGCGATCCAGAGGGGAAGCGCATGGGTCTAACAGCTTCCTCAGCTGGACTATTGTCCTGGAGGTGAGATATTTAGTTATCTACGACGAGCGCGACGATTCAACGAACCTACATCAAAGTTCTACGCTGCCGAAATCACCATGACAATAGAATTCCTGCACGATATGGAAGGGATTGCCTATCGGGACCTAAAGCCAGAGAATATCCTCCTTGACGCTGACGGCCATATCAAACTCGTCGATTTTGGTTTCGCGAAGGAGCTGGGTGACCGCGAGACATATACATTGTGTGGCACACCGGAGTATCTCGCGCCAGAAGTCATCCACAACAGTGGCCACGGACTTGCAGTGGATTGGTGGGCTTTAGGGATCCTTATCTACGAGTTTTTGGTTGGGCAACCACCTTTCTGGGATCAGAACCCAATGCGGATATACGAGCAGATTGTCCAAGGTCGTTTACGATTCCCGCAAAACGTTATGTCCCCTGCAGCTCAGAACATCGTCTCCTTGCTTTGCAAAACCAATCCGACAGAACGACTGGGATACATATCGGGTGGCTCTGCAAGAGTAAGATCTCATCCGTTTTTCGAAGGTATCAAATGGGATGACCTCTATCATCGCCGTATCAAGGGGCCTATCATCCCAAGAGTCGACCATCCTGCGGATACGGGCAACTTTGAGGAATATCCAGATCCTCCAGTGAACAACCTGACTCCATACACCGATGATTTGAAATCAAAATACGAGCCATTGTTCGCCGATTTCTAAAAATTTATCGACTACACATGCCTCTTCAACCGGAGTTAGCGGAGCCTAGTGTCTCGCTTTTACAATCTTTCATTTTATATATCGCCCGTGGCATGAACGCATGTTGGATTGTTAATATAAGTTCCCCATGCCTCGTCTCCTGGGAGCCACACTGCTTCAATTCCTTTTATTCTTCTCCTGCTTCTTCTGCTTCTTTTTTTCCTTCTTTTGGGTATATTTTGGACATGGGAGTTACGAGCAAGTGATTATACGAATGTCTATAATGATGTCTATTGGTTATGCTACATAAGTCTGCCATTTACTATTCTTCTTTCTTTACTCTGTGTCAATATATAGTCAAGTCTATCAGGTGTTTGGCTTTGCCTTTCTTTCTGCATCGTCATAATTGTCATTTATTCTGCTTTTGGTTATCCGAAAACTGTGTCTTGTGTTTCAAAAAGCGAGTGGCTACGAATCGTTTCAGGTGTACATATCTAGGAAATGGATATATCGAAAGAGGTTTAAGTCATGGCTTTGCGGCCTCGCTCGCACCGTACTCATGGTCTATATTCCAAGCTCTCCCACAGTGCTATGTACATACACAAGTAATCCAATTCAAACACTAACCATGCCAACGAACAAAACAGACCAAAACCAAGAATCCCCCAACTCCTTTCTTCTCTCCCTCCTTCTTTCCCTCCTCCTCATCCTTCACTCCTTCCTTGCATACAGAAATGTGACATGCATGCAGGATGTTGATATCCTTGGCGAGACTCAAAAGCGTAGACTCGTTTTTCGTAGTCCTCACTTTTAAGATGATGATTCTCGAGCGAGGTAGGGTGATCTGATTTCACATATCGAGGTGCGTAGGTTCATGAAAGCTCTATGTGAACTGCAGATTACCACCGTCTATAGACGGCTGGCTTCAAAGCGAGGGTTAGAATGAACGTGTCGAGCAACGCCACCCCACCGTAAATGTAGAAAAGGGTATCTTTGATTCTATTCGATGGGCGTGAGATGTAACGATCATAGCAAAGGGTCTGTTTTCCAAGTCCCTGGTTTAATGTCAGTACTCCTCGATTGACTCAACAAGGTAAGGAACCATACCATCGAAATCATGCTGCACAAACGCCATCGGGTCATCAATATCCATAGCTCCCATCTGCCCAACACCAGGACTAAAACTCGTGATCGGCAAGACGACAACATCTCCAACCTTGCGGCGATCTTCCTGCCCAGTAAAGTCCTCGTAGGTGACATTGCGCGAGGTCTCGGGGTCGATCTTGAAGTATTCTGGGTTATTAAGGTATCTGAAGACGGCGTCCGTCCATGCAGCAGGGCCTGTGAATTCGACAACAGTCTTGTCCATTTTCTTCGACTTGAGCACGCCTAATTCCTTCATCCGCAGCGCTTCCTCGGTGATATAGGCGACGATGTCGCGGAGGACGGGGTGACCGGGCTTGGCCTGGATAGTCCACTGACAGAATTGGATGCGTCGCGAGTACCATTCATGCCAGTCCTCACGGTCTGGATCCGCTTCGATGCCCACGACCAAGCCGACAGTCGACTGGTCCAGTTCCTGAGGGAGCCATTCAGATGCAGGTTGTAGGGCGGTGGTGTCGATGTCACTGTAGATACCCCCACGCGCGAGCAGTACTAAATACCGGAAGAGATCCGCCTTGAGCACAGCAAGCGGCAGCGCCTCATATGCCTCCACCACTTCCGGCACCGACGCGAAATAGTATTTGATCAGGTGGCGCTGGGTATCGTCGGTGATGACCTGGTGGACGAAACCGGGGTGCAACTCTGTCCAGCTGGCTTCGGGGGCGCGCAGGTCGTCAATGAACCAGAACGAAGACGGATCATATTTCCAAGTTTGCCAGATGTAGGCGGGGAATCTGTTCGAGATGTCGTAGGGGAAGTGGTAGCGGAGTCGGTCGCGGAGGGGTGCTGTCGGCGCGGGTTGGAGGGGGAGTTGTTGGACGGTGCCTTTCTTTGGCAAGGATTCCTCGTTCACGATTTCATCGGGGGTTATTGGAGGGATATCGGTTATCGAGGAGGAAGAAAAGGACGAGGAGGAGTGGGAGGATCGGAGGACTAGGATACAGGCGACAAGGAAGATCGCGGCGATCAACGACTTCCGAAAAGTGGGCATTGTGCCGGCCACAGACAAGGGAGTCCCGGCGACTGGGATCGAATCGCGTCAATCAGTGCCGGTGAGAATAAGGATAGTCTGTTTTAGTGCTATAAAAATGAAGACAAGACTCCGAAGAAGTGCCTGACGAAACTACCACGAGGTATTCCGGATGCTCCGCCGATGATCCACGGGTCGATGGAGCAGTATGTAACTCTGCAGTAGTAACTATATCCTGCGCAATCTGATGCGACCAGGCATATTGAGAGGAATTACAGCAATGATATTAGTAGTAGGTGATAATATGTAGTGCCTGGAATGGGACTGAAGAAGCGAAGAGAAGAAAAGACCACGCGGCCGCCAACGTCAGATTGCTTAACATTTCTGCGACAACGGTGCACGGATGCATTGCAGATTATAACGGCAAATGAAGACGATATTATTTTACATCCCCTATTAGAATTAAGCCTGGTTCCGAGTTATAAAGTGCAATTGTTCCATCCGATGTGCTCTATACAAGGTTCTATAACAAAGCCTTTATACCGCATCCTGCAACTGCATAAAAAGCGGAGAGCTTGGCGACAGGGCTGTTTCTTCAACAGAAAAATCTAAATTGAGCATGAGCACAGAAATTACTATATAGGTACTCTGGCAATACAGAATGTCTGATCTTATTTCAACGACGATCTCAATATTGCCATCGGTTCCTGGTCTGTCGTGATGGTTTCCGACTTCACCTCTTCGCATCTCCGGCATACTCTGTACCAGGTACTATAATGACCGCGCTGTGACATAGACGACTGTACCGCAAATTCAAAGAAAGACTACGCAATTGTTAACGATGACCGGGGCTAAATAAATATGACCTATGATGCCGGCAACAGCGCTATCCCGTCTCTTCCAGACACAGGACAAACCCCCCACGGACAACACGCAGAGCATGGACCCGGGGTCTGAATCCCATCATCCAATGCCGGAAAAGGGATCAAATGGGCCATCGACATGGACCGGGAAACGAATTGCAATTGTGACCCTGATCGTGGTGATGGCCGTCTTTACCATTGTCTTGGTCGTCACGTTGCCCATTGAGCTGCGACCCCGGAACAGCTACCGCATTGCTCGCGTTGATTCCAATTATTACGATGGAGCCAATCGTCCCAAACGTGTTTTGGAAAACTTTCCGGATCCTGGTCTACTTCAGGTTAACGGTACCTGGTATGCGTTCGGAACTAATGAGGCGAACAACGATACGGAGGTACCGAGAGTGCCAGTCGCAATATCGTCGGACTTTATCAATTGGACAAAATTGGAGAGTCGCCAGGTGCTACTAGCAGATGGCGATTGGGAAACCGATGTTAACCACTGGGCGCCGGATGCCATGCAGCGGGTGAGTAAAAGCGGGTTTCTTGTGATGCTCGTACAAGAATGACATTTTTGTCTAGGACGATGGAAGATTCGTGCTCTACTATTCCGGAGAATTAAAGGACTGGAAGCGACATCACTGCGTTGGCGTTGCTGTCACGAACAACACAAGCCCCCTGGGTCCCTATGTGCCTCAGACTACCCCCCTGGTCTGTCCCCTAGACCAAGGTGGTGCCATTGATCCCTCCCCGTTTAAAGATGTCGATGGAAAGCTTTATATCGTCTACAAAGTCGACGGAAATAGCATCGGAAATGGCGGAAGGTGCAACAACAGCAAACCACCCTTCAAGTCTGTCCCAATCATGCTGCAAGAACTCGAAAACAACGGTACTACTCCTATTGGAGATCCGGTGCAGATTTTCGAGCATGACGGCGACGAGGATGGCGAGCTGGTCGAGTCCCCCAATCTCATCCGGACGGCGGAGGGCATCTACTACCTATTCTATTCTTCCCATTGCTTCATATCGCCCGAGTACGATGTCAAGTATGCCACATCGCCATCTCTCCGCGGCCCTTATAGCAGGGCTAGAAGAGAGTTTCTCAGGACAGGCGATTTCGATCTCGATGGCCCTGGAGGTGCCACTGTATCCCAAGATGGGACCAAGATGGTTTTCCATGCGAATTGCGACCATGAGCGATGCATGTATGTGGCAGGAATCCACATCAACTCGACTGCATTGAATGTTACCTTGACTTCTTTATGACAATGGTGTTATGGTGCATGAATATGTATGATTAGAAGCGAAGATACCTTGTTCCGTGAAGGCATCTAGAATCCAGATATAGAAGTCAGCCAATAAGAATGCGCATGGATGACGCCATACCACAACGCGGCATCCAATCCATCACCGCCTTCCATATACAGAACGATCTTTTCAACTTAATCGCCGTCTAGATTTCGATGACTATAGACAGAACGTCTCCTTCCTTTCTCTGTGCCTGTCTGCCATCATGGCTTCCTTTCAGAATGCAGCGCGCTCAGCATCCCGAAGACTGCTGAAGCATTGTGAGACTCCGACCGCATTCGCCGGAAGAAACCGATTCTACTTATCGCAATCATCCCACCTGAGAAGACTACACAGCGTCCCGCCACGGAATTCCCAGTCGACAGCCGCAGCGGAGAAACAAGCATTGAAAGATGCGTCCAATCCTGCTCTTTCCTTCCCTTGTCTCGATGCCCAGGAAGAAAAAACCGCACGGCTTACCGCGCGATCTCTCGAGTCGGGTCCGGAACCGTCGTACACCACGGGCCACCATGAACGATTCCATTGCGAGGCACCGTTGTTGCTGGATTGGGGTGGTGTCCTGCCGGAGTTCGATGTCGCGTACGAGACCTGGGGTCAATTGAACGAGGACAAGAGTAACGCTATCCTCTTGCACACCGGACTCTCCGCATCGAGTCACGCCCACAGCACCGAGTCTAACCCTAAGCCCGGGTGGTGGGAGAAGTTCATCGGACCTGGCGGGCCGTTGGATACGAACAAATACTTTATTATCTGCGCCAATGTTCTCGGAGGTTGCTACGGGAGCACAGGACCTTCGTCGATTGACCCGTCTGATGGAAAGCGATATGCTACTCGGTTCCCCATCTTGACCGTCGAAGACATGGTGCGGGCTCAGTTCCGCCTGCTGGATGCGCTTGATATCCAAAAGCTGTACGCGTCTGTGGGATCGAGTATGGGTGGTATGCAGAGTTTGGCTGCCGGTGTTCTGTTCCCCGAGAGAATCAACAAGATTGTGAGTATCAGTGGGTGTGCACGTAGCCACCCATACAGTGTTGCCATGAGACACACCCAACGCCAGGTCCTCATGATGGATCCCCGCTGGGAGCGTGGCTTCTACTACGACTCCATCCCGCCGCATTTCGGAATGAAGCTTGCCCGTGAAATCGCAACGGTCACTTACCGCAGCGGACCGGAGTGGGAGAAGCGCTTTGGCCGCAAGCGCGCCGACCCCAGCAAGCAGCCCGCCCTCTGCGCGGACTTCCTCATCGAGACCTACCTCGACCACGCAGGCGAGAAGTTCTGTCTCGAGTACGACGCCAACAGTCTCCTCTACGTGTCGAAAGCAATGGACCTGTTCGACCTGGGCTACGAACAACAAGTCGAGACCCGGAAGCGCCGGGCCGAGTACGAACGTAAGATCACCCAAGGCGACAAACAACTCGAACAAAGCGACCCCGCTTGCAGCCTGACTCTGCCGGAACAGCCCTACGAAGAACAACCCTCTGTCACCGCATCCATCCCGCCGATCAACGAATCTGTCTTCGGCAGCGGAGACAAGAGCCCAGAGGCACCGCCGGAGGATCTTGTCCGTGGACTGGCACCTCTCAAGAATCACAAGGTGCTAGTCATGGGCGCTGCCAGTGATATCCTCTTCCCCGCTTGGCAGCAGCGCGAAATCGCTGCGACGCTCCAGGCTGTTGGCAACAAGAACGTCGAGCACGTTGAACTTGGAGAGGATGTATCGCACTTCGGGCACGATACATTCCTGCTTGATTTGAAGAATGTCGGTGGTACGGTGCAAAGGTTCCTGTGATGATATAAAAGTTGTGTTTCTGTATCATTCTTGTATAGCGTGTTCATAATGATGATGCATGTATAGGCGTTTTTATTATGTTTTTATTTAGTGGTAGACTGGAGGCAACCGTCCAGTAAATTCACCGAATCTCCAGTCTTGTAGTCATATTCACTTCATCGACGATATCAGATAGCTGCCTTTTCTTTTCTTCACTTTCCGGCCTTCAAGCTAATATTATTTTGATTCCCATTGATTCACCCATTTCGCGCATCATGTCAGCCGAAATAGGCCAGACGTACCCTTCGCGCAACCCGATAGAGCTCAACGGATAAAATGGCTCTCTGAGAGTATCGCAGCCCTACCCCCAACATCCAGGAAAACCACATTCCACACATCATGGGCATGCCTATAGCTGGCAGATATACAGCAATTACAAGGGATGCTGAGTTATTTACCTGTCAAAATCGAGGACTTTCTCGCAAGGCTTGGACAGGTAGAGGCCCGGGACATCGCCGCAAAATGTAAGTTGTCTTCGAAAGAGGGTAAGGGATGATGCTAATAGCGCGTTGCAGGGACTCAGGCCGGAGATCCGTATTCAAAAACGCCATGGGCTGCATCAACTCTTTCGCAAGGCTATAAGGATGAGCGCGGCTTACGCCCGATCTTCTCTCAGTCCTATGATCTTACCAGTTACAATGTGATCGTGCCCCTTCGTGAAGTACCTGCATCGCTTGGCAGTTTGGCCAGGAAACGTCCCGCTGAGGACATCGATTCGGGGGGAAATAAGAGGGCAAAAGCCGGGAGCGTTCTGGCAGATAAAGGGGTATTTTCAAAATTTTTGCTATTAGCAAACAAGCTAATACTGACAATTGTACCAGTGTCACGAGTGAGACGACGGTTGCTTCTTGACGAAAACCAACCCCGCTGTCTCGAAGGTTGTTCACCTCTATCCCCCCTTAATGAAGGGCCCGAACACAGCTGGTGTCGTTATGCTCTGGCGCACGCTGTGGATGTTTGGTTCTGAAGACCGGGTGAACGCTTGGTGGAATGCGATTTATGGGGACGAAGCCGGAGCAGAGAAACCGCAAAATTTGATATGCATGAGCCCCTCGGCTCATGAGATGTATACACAGGGTTTATTTGCGCTTGAACCTTTACCTCTGGATAAAAACTGGGACGGCAAAGGAGCTCTTTGTCCGTTTCTGGTGGCTCAAACAAGCGGAGTCAACTGGCCAGGTCGACCTGACTACCCAGCCACAGCTCCCATCAGACTTCGATCCTAGTGGGCATGATCTTGGATTGCACAATGTGCGTACGGGAGAACCTATTCGCTCCGGGGACGTTATTACACTCCGAACACACGATCCCATAACCCGCCCACTTCCAGACATAAGAATCATCGAAATGCAATGGTTCCTAAACAGAGTCACCGCGTTGCGAGGGGCCGCAGAGCCAAGGGAGCTACCGGAGGACGAGTCGGAATCAGATAAAGACGACGGCTTGCCCTGGCTGGTCTCGTCGAGCATGCCGGAGAAGTCGTCACCACCAGTCTCGTTTCAAGCGACATTTCCGAAGAGTTCTATCACGGAAAAGGAGCCCACTGTCACGCTTGGCGAAGCCAAAAAGGATAGCGAGTAGATGGGACCGTGTAGAGTTGTTGAGAAGTAGGAATGAAAAGAAACGAGAGGAGGGACATGATCATTTAGTGTATGCTTGTTTGCGTGTTTGTCTATTTGTTTCTCTCGTGACACTTCATCCTATATAGCATCGATATGGCATATTGGAAAATCAGTATACTCAAATTGAACTAGATAACCTAAAGTAACATATGTATGCATCCAACAAGAAAAGTAAAAACAGTGGCCCTCAGATTAGCTCTCAGGTTCTCATTGACTTCCAGGCAAATGCGTGTTTCACCGGATATCGTACAATTTTGGCTTATGTGATTAAACACTCATCACTGGGCATTCTAGCTAAAAGAAAGGGCAAGGAAACCGTTCTAGACATCTCATGGACACATTAATCCATCAGATCCCAATCAGCATAACCGATAGACCCTGGAAGACATATTAGCGACGGCTCATATACGTATCCATATCCAGAAATGCTGAAACTCAAGATGAACCAACCGGCCAGCCACATCAGTTTGAAAACTACCTTTTCACTCTTCACAGACCTGCTCAACGCCGTTACCATGTGGTTGCAGACGGAGCATTATTGGATTGTCCAATTTGGCCTCGAGTGTATGCTATTTAGTTGTCGTCATTTGGCTGGCCGGGGTATAACGAATAAAAGGGAGATGTAGGAACGTACCTTTATACGTTAGTCTCGCTGAAGTGACAGGATTATAAGTAATGTAGTCATCCAGGATAGATTGAAGAATTGCGAGCAAAACAACACCGAAAAGAGTCGATATCGTTACCAGTCCCTTAGATCTCTGTTCGTCTCAATCACCCACACATAAGCGCGCGTCTTCTTCCACTAGGCGCACTAACATGCTCTCAAGGGATGAAGTCCACGCGCTGGAATAATCCAGCGATCTGGCTTATTCCAAGGTGTCATGAGAGTGCTCTATGGTGTACTGGGATATCATCATTGGGAGTAACAATAATGTCTTTGTCAGACCTGCTCCAGCCTTGTTAGTTATCATCTCCGCGAGCAAGTTCATGGGATCTGGGACTTCAACGTACCTGGTGTTGACAGGGACGTAAAAGGAGGCAAGGCACGCGACAAAGCGGAGACAAAACGGGCGCCGCTGTGCACGTGACCTCACTGCCGATCCACTGCGGAATTCGAGCTATGACGATAGAATTTATGAGTTGGCTGCCTGCGCTAAACATCGGAAGTTTTTCTTGTTTTGCTGCTGGGGATGGTATGTATAGATCCTGTCATATGGGAACCCTGAGCTTGCGAGAATTGAATCTGATATTGACTATTCGACTACTGTAGGTACACTGAACGATTTGACGAAATAAATCTCCGCCGCAAGTTGAAAGCCGAGACGCACGTCAAACACACATTAACGAACGGGGGAGGGGCATACACGCAAGGATTTCGAGGATGTCGTGGATCCAGCAACACGCAAATTCCCACCAGTCACGGCTGGCTGCTACCGCCGTACTTTCGGGAGTTGCTGTTGCAGGCGCCATACTTGGATACCAGGCAATCCGACGAGAAAAAGCCGTGCACAAGCTTAAGGCTTCCATTCCGGATATAAACGATAGTCACTATGCGGAGAAGGTTCGTCATATTAACCATCGGGTGCCTAGAATTGTTATGCAAGGTCCGGAAGACTGATTCAAAATGAAGCTCACAGAATATGGCTCCGCGGCTGCATCGCAATTGAGCAAAGAAGACGAGCGCAGTGCGGCTCTTGCGCGCAGAGCACAGGAGGGAGATTACGATGACGGTGAGCATTCATGGATCTTGCTATTTTAACCAAGACTAACAAGTACAACGGGATGTAGACCTAATCCTCGAACAACTCGCCCGGAACCGTGTATTCCTCACCGATGAAGGCCTTGCCCAGCTCCGATCATCTTTCATAATTGTCGTCGGATGTGGCGGTGTCGGATCGCATGCGGCAGCCTCTCTCGCTCGCTCTGGCGTATCCAAGATCCGGCTTATCGATTTCGACCAAGTTACGCTCTCTTCGCTGAACAGACACGCCCTCGCGACGCTGGCAGACGTGGGTACGCCGAAGGTGCACTGCATTCGCAAACGCCTGGAACAAATCGCTCCATGGGTCAATTTCGATTGTCGGAACGAGCTCTTTGGGGGTTCCGCGGCAGATGATCTCCTGAGCCCGTGGCAAGGGCAGAAACCGACTTACGTGCTTGATTGCATCGACAACATCACCTCGAAAGTGGAACTCCTGCACTACTGCCATACGAATTCGATTCCCGTGATCTCCGCCATGGGCGCCGGCTGCAAGTCTGACCCTACCCGTGTCGTGGTGGGCGACATCTCTCTTAGCACCGATGACCCTCTCTCGCGTAGCACCCGTCGACGACTGAAGGCTCTCAAAGTTAATACTGGCATCCCGGTGGTTTTCTCGACTGAGAAGCCGGGCCCCGGGAAGGCAAGTCTGCTTCCCCTTGCCGAGGAAGAATTCAACAAGGGCGACGTGGGCGAGTTATCCGTTCTCCCCGACTTCCGGACTCGAATTCTCCCCGTCCTCGGCACCATGCCCGCAGTATTCGGATATACGATTGCGAACCACGTCATCTGCGACATCTCCGGCTATCCCAACGACTACAACGCCGGCGGCAAAGGACGGGATAAAATGTACGACGGCATTCTCGCAGGAATGCAGGGCTTGCATGAGAAGCTCGCCCGGACAGAAGCCGGTCAGGACTTCGTTGGTCTTCGTCTACCAATCTCCAAAGATGACGTAGGATTCCTCGTGGATGACATCTGGCGCGGGAAAAGCATCGTCAGCGGTCTGCCTAACCGTCTGCAGCTGATACTGTGGGAGAAACCGGCTCGTGGGTTCGGCCCCGACCCTGCATGGGAAAAGGAAGGACAAAAGTTCATTCCTATTGCGCTGAAGGACCTCGTTTGCTTGACTAAGGAAGAGGCCATCCGGCATGAACGCGAGGTTCTTCGCGAGGGGAAGAGACCAGAGGACATTTACGATGAGAAGACGGTGCAGAAGGCGAAGGAGAGGATGAAGGAGGCGGAATTTTACGAGAACTACCGGTAAACGCGGTTTATGATAACGTGTATGTAAAAACGAAAAGTTATGTACAAAGCAATGGCTATTAGCTGTTTAAACGAGCATCATTTTTATGCGCGAATCTCCTCCGAAGAAATAACCGTCCCAAAACCATCATCCAGCTCACTCAACACAACAGACACCAACTCCGCAGCCCCAGCGCCGGGAATATCCCTATCCCCAACCGCATCCCTCGCAACAACCACATCATATCCACGCTCAGCCCCCGCTCTAGCCGTCGTAGAAACACAAATGTGCGCCATATACCCCACCAACACAATCTTCTTCCCCACATCCCCCAACCCCTTCAAGTACTCATCCAAGTCCGTCTGCGCAAATGAGTTGGGAAACTGTTTGGTAACCACCTTCTCACCAGCCTTTGGTGTCAACTCCTCGAACTCCTTTGCGAGTTCAGTGTCCGGGGTGAAGACGGGTGCACCAGCGGGGACTTGGTGGACAACGTGGACTATGTTCCTGTCATTGCCGGAGGAGCGGTACTTGTTCAAGAGGTTGGAGATGGACTTGCGGGTTTGGTCGACGTTGGCGGTTGTCAGGAGGCCTGTGGCGTACTCGTTCTGGGCGTCGATGATGATGAGGGTGGAGTCTTGGACGGAGGCGGTTGAGGGGGGGATGCCAATGGTTTGGCGGAAGGATTTGGCAGCGGACATGTTGCAGAAGTTATGAGAAGAGTGATTGAGCTTGAGATGTTTTCGCTTGAGTGCTTGGGAAGACAAATGGCGAGATGTCGCGGGGTTTATATGCCATCCTCGAAGGATGGAGATATTATCTAATCAATACTATGGGCCCACTTTAATCGGCGGAACGGGGTCTTGGCGGGTAATCTAACCATTTTGGGTGAAGATTGCATCATCCCATTGGATAAGCCTGAAGTATGGCGCCTCTGTACATGATTGATAATCAGGCATTTTATTTTCAGTCTCATAGCTCTATATACATTATCGTCTATCATTCGCTTACTGCACTCCAGCAATCATCACCTTGAAAACGTCCTGTCTTCCCGCTTTCACCAACTCAAAGGCCTGCTCCGACTCCTCGAACTTGAACCGGTTCGTGATCAATGGCTTCACATTAATCCGACCACTCGAGATCAAGTCGATGGCTGCCGGATAGCAGCCGGTCAAGTACCGGATTGAGCCCTTGATTACCAATCCCCGAATGCAAACCGCAGTGATCGGGAAGTTAATGTTTTCCTTCCCCATACCAGCCTGCACAAACGTGGCGCCTCTTTTGGCAGCATAGATACCAAGCTGGACACACGGCTCAGCACCAGAACATTCCAGAACCACATCTACACCATCACCAAGACCGCATTCCTCCTTCAACATAGCCGCCCACCTTCTCTGCATGCGCCATGGGGTCCGCATCAGGCTCTGGCCTCGGGGGCATAAACATATGATCCGCACCATACGAATTAGCCACCTCAATCCTAGAAGCAACAATATCAACACCAACCACCTTCTTCGCACCCCATGCCTTTGCGATAGCCTGGCAGAGGACACCAATCGGCCCGCATCCAAAAACGAGCACCGTCTGATGAGCGCGCAAATCCGCCGTTTTAGAAATAGCCACAGCCACCGAAACAGGCTCCACCATGGCTGCTTCTTCGAGCGTCATCGAGTCAGGAACCTTGTAACAGAATTCCGCAGCGTTCACGTAGTACTTGGCCAGGGTACCGTCTCAGGGGGGCGTGGCGGCGAAGATCATGTCACCGCAGAGGTGGTATGAGCCCTTGCGGCAGTATTCACAGCGGCGGCAAGGTACACCGGGCCCAAGGGCTACACGGTCACCGGCCTTGAGGTCTTTGACTTTGTTGCCGGTTTCAACGACGACGCCGGAGAATTCGTGGCCGAGGACCATTGGGCCGGTGAGGACGTAGTCGCCGATACGGCCGCGTTGCCAGCTAGGCAAAGCGTTAGCGTTAAGTCTAGCCTTGAGTAGAAAAGTACGTACTAGTAAACCTATAAATTGTGCATGTTAGTGAAATAAATTATAATATAATGAGTGATAGCAGGCAACTCACATCACTTCCACAGATACCCGTCTGGGCTACGTGCACCATCACATCATAAGGATCCCTGAGTTCCGGCTTGGGGCGATCCTCGGTCACCACATCTTTAATGCCTCGAAGTACAAACGAAGCGTTCTGGTCAAGGTCAGCACGGAAAGATTCAGTTCAACGAACATATTGCAGACCTCCATGGTTGGTATAATTTCTCGTTAGGTCTGAGTACTTTTCTCTCTCCTTTTAAAGGACCTCGAAGGTCATTTATATCCTTCAGAAGACATTCAATGCGGGGGGAGGTCATCTTTGGTCATAAACCAAACCTCTTACTTCTATTATCTAACTTGGAATCCCCGATACGGAATCTTTGGCGTCGTGGGGCGTGGGTGCTACCAAGAAAGGTAATTTTCGCGGCATGCCCTAAGCTCGGGACAATTACCAAATACAATTACCTACAATGGTTTCCTGGCGAACGAGCAACACTTCGAGATATGTTTTCTTTTCTTAAATATATATAAAGATGGTAGTAAAGTGACTCTTGTCCCGTTAAGCCCCTCTTCAATCAAACTTTCAAGTCCAACCCCAGTCTTTGTCTCTTGACCACTCTCTTCCTACAACCAACAAAATGCCCATCTCAATCCCTCAAGCTAACAATCTAACCGGCCTCTTCAGCCTAAAATGGAAGGTCATCGTGGTAACCGGCGCCTTCAGCCCCCGCGGCATCGGCTTCGAAGCAGCCCACGGCTGCGCCGAAATGGGCACCTCCGTGGCAATCACCTACTTCACCCGCGAAGACAGCGCAAAGCAAAACGCGGAAGCCCTCACCAAAGAGTACAACGTCAAAGTCCAAGCCTACCACTGCGACATCCGCGACTACGCCGCCGCCAAGGCCCTAGTTGACAATGTCCTACGAGACTTTGGGCAGATTGACGGGTTTATTGCGAACGCGGGCCGCGCAGCGAACGCAGGCGTGCTGGAAGGTATTATTGCGGACTGGATGGAGATCGTGCAGACAGATCTGAGCGGGACATTCCACTGCGCGAAAACGGTTGGGGAGCACTTTAAGGCGCGGGGGCGGGGTTTGTTCGTGGTGACTTCGTCGATGTCGGGGCACATAGCGAATTTCCCGCAGGAGCAGACGTCGTACAATGTTGCTAAGGCGGGGTGTGTGCATTTTGCGAGATCGCTGGCGAATGAGTGGAGGGATTTTGCGAGGGTGAATTCTGTGTCGCCGGGATATATTGATACGGGGTTGTCGGATTATATGGGGAGGAATGGGGTTGCGAAGGAGTTGAAGGGGCTGTATGTTTACTTGGTTAGTGATGCTAGTACTTACACTACTGGTGCGGATGTTGTTGTTGATGGGGGATACACTGCGCGGTAATTTGGGGATGTTTTTGGTATCGAAATATCGCGCAGGAATCGAGTCTAGACTTTGTCAATTCATTGGTACTTCGGAACAAATCTCTGCGTATGCAATGACTCTAAGGTACTCCTATATACAATTTTTGATTTTGTAATTCACAAATGACCAGCAATACTTCCATTATTAACCATAATTCATGCTCGTTGACATTCTTCATCAACTCGTATCCTGTTCTGCGTGTGCCATGGGATACCCCATTCCCTTGATAGGTCTTTCAGATGATATTCTGTGGCGAATTCAAAGTCACTTTCAACCTGAAGGAGTAAATCAAGCAGCTCCTGTCTCTCGTTCGTATCGACTAAAGACCGCCCCGCGGTGTAAAGTGGTTGTAGCAAGTTTTTCCGTACTCTGTCGTCGGGCATTGCACGCGCTATCGGAATGATTTTCATCGCATGCTGTCGAAGCTCCCGTTGCAGAGAATGATAAGTAGATAATATATCAAGCGCATTATGGGGCTGTCCCATGAGGAAAACATCTACAGGGCGATGGATCAACAGCAGCATGCGAGCCATATGATAGAACGTCATAGTTATAGCGCACAAATCGTTGCAAAACCAAGACTCGTGGTATGTAGCCTTCATAGAAGAGGTCTGTTCATCGTCTACTACTACCGAACAAGGCCAATCGATGGAGCAAGAGAAGGACGGAGGCAGCATGTCATACCACCGATTGAACTCATCTTCCATGCATGTCCATTGGGAAGCGTCTCCTGTCTCCAGATTGACCAGTTGGCATAATTGTCTCACCAGAACTTTGAAAAAAATGGCCTCAGCATGTGCTTCAGCAGCATAGTTTACAACAAAGTGTCCCATATCATCAAGTGGAAGGCCCATTTTGCACCACATCGAGAGGTTCTGCGTGTCCACTCTACACTTTTTTCGAGAAAAATTTGTTATCAAGTTAGATTCCGATCACAAATTATTTTGGTTTGGAGGCGAGAATTCACATGCATCAGACATATCATGAAACGCAAAAAAACCAGGACGATACCTCAATTGCTCTCATAGGCTGGGGTGCATGTAGAGGCATTGGAAAGGAGATTGGGAGCGAGGCAGCGTGGATATGGGACTGCAATAGTTTGTAGATGCCATTTATATGGCCCGACCAAGCTCTCATTGTGGCACTAAGATCCTCATATTGGCAAAGAATACACGCGGCTATAACTTGAAAGACGGAGGCGGCTTCCTCTTGCTCGTTATGGAAGCTAGGATCATTACTCACGGGCGTCAAGCCAGTTTGGTAGATGCAGCAAGGCGAAAGACCAGGAATAGAGTGGTCATCATGGGAGAGTTGTTTGGTGAGTAGCTGGATTGCTTTCTCGTAGTATTTTGCCCCGTACCAGAGAAAATCAAGCGTCGTCTCGGAGAATGCCCTGAACATCAACCTTTGACAGTGCGTTTGCCGGATTTTCGATATCGGGTCATTCATTTGACCGAGCTGCTTAGCCGCAACTGCGCATGCTGCATACCGAACTAATGTGCTCGTGTGTGCGAACTGCACCACGTGTTGGCTAAAGTACGAATGTTGACCGGCAAATAAATCCATCCACCGGCGTGGTCCTTCAGAGAAACAACGCAAAAAGAATGCAACTTCGTAACGGTCGTATTGGTTTTCCGCAACGCCTGCCTGGTAATTACAGATGTGAGAAGAGTCTCGTTGTGCTCTCGGAGAGATATGGGGAAGCAAGAGCTCAGCATGGAAGTCATGGTATGGTGGGCTTGAGTGGATGGTCGGTTCAATTGCCGCTGACTGGGGTTGAGTGGGTGGGTTCTGGTCTTTCTCTGGAGCGACGCTCTGGGGTGACGAGTCTATAGCGGGTTCGGTGGCCGCAAGTGACTCTTCAAGTTGTATTGGCGAGGTTGGAGACAGTGTCTGCACTGGTGATGTAGTGTTTCCGGGCGTTGAATCGACTATAACATCGACTTCGAGATAGGGTTAATATAAAAACAAAAGCAAGCATAAAGGGAGTATCCTAAGTCAGATGTCACCTCGCGCGACCAGATTGCTGCCACCATCAATCAGATCGCAGAGGAATTTGGCAACGGCAGACTCGACGTTGTTGTGGCGAATGCGGGTGTCTGCACCAACTCGTCTTGTCTCGAGTATACCGAAGAGACATGGGCTCGGGACAACCGAGTCAACTACGATGGTGTCATGTGGACGGCGCAGGCTGCTGGAAAGATATTTAAGAGACAGGGCAAAGGCAATCTGGTCATCACGGCTTCCGTGAGCTCCATTCTGGTCAACATCCCTCAGACGCAGGTTGCGTACAATGCCTCTAAGGCTGCGGCCGTGCACCTTGCAAGGAGCTTAGCTGTCGAGTGGACAGACTTTGCCCGTGTGAACTGCATCTCTCCCGGCTTTATGATGACAAAGAGTAAGTACTTCTTTCTCCGGCCAAGAAAAGAGGAAAGGTTGAATAGAAGCTAACTTCGTATTCCAGTGTTGACCCAGCAGCCAAAGGAACTTTTCGACAAATGGTTGGGAATGATCCCGGGAGGCCGAATCTGCGATCCCGCCGAGCTGAAGGGGGTAAGTCCCGTCCGGTATCCCGGTCTGAAAATGTCGCATACTAATATTTCCTTTTTAGGCCTATGTATTCCTTGCAAGTGACGTTTTCTCCTACATGACAGGATCCAACATCGTCATTGACGGAGGCTACACCCTGCCTTAGATCTTTGTGTTGTGATGTTAAAGTTAGATAGACAACCATTGCAATGAGACTGGATGCCCGCGTAGCCTGGTTTAGAGCACTCGGCTAACTTGCGCTCCTCTAGCCAACCGCAGCTTGGAAGAAATTGACGGCCTACTACCGCCCCAATCCCTCCCTATTCGCTATCAGAGACCCGGATGCAATTTGCACGAAGCGCCCAGAGAAGTATATTCAGCACGAAAGCGAGGAAGTGCAAAAGAAAGCCAAACAGGGAACACTGAACATGTACAAGACGCAGACTCATATGGTGGAGCACGTGGAATAAGCCCAGAATGCATGGGGCTTTGTACAAATCCTGCGTTGCGAATGACCTCAGAACCTTCACAGCAGACGTAGTACAATCATCACAACCGATATCAGGTTCTCAGACTCAAAATTAGTGGCAGAAAATACAAGATCGTCTATAATTTTACCTATTCACCATCGGATTCAACTTCCCTACTCTTTAACATCATCACGACATTTCTCCTGTACAAGACTCTGTTTCCCACCGGCTTCGATCACCAAAGCCGAAAGTTTTTCGCCTTTGACACAACCCGAATCCAGACCCTTGGTATAATCGCTTATGGCAAGGCCAGTTTTTGAGTCGTGGCCGTAGATGACCGTCATCGTGGACACTGTTGAGTCAACCTTGTTGCTCGTCACAGTTGAGTAGTGTTTGTTGAATAACTGCGTATAGAATAAGTACTCTGGACGCTATGGTTGGTTGCATGAGACATACCTTGGCCCACATAGTCCCCTGGTGCGAATCGAGCACCTCTTTCTTATCAAAATTGATCGACCGCATATTCATAACAATCCACGGATCTTGCTTCTCCAACTCAATGTCCGGGAGTAAGCCTGCGTGCACCACAACCACCTCGCCCATGCCGCGAATCCATCCTAGTTTGAGGATCATCGGACAGGACTCAAGCCATTGCGCCTGATCGTCGCTGAGTTGGAGTGCCAGGTCGCGTTCACGGGCTTCCTTACCTTCTCCCTTGTCTTTTCCTTTCTTATTTTTCTTATCCTTCTTCTTTTTGTCCTTCTTGTCCTTCTTGTCCTTTTTATCCTTCTTGTCTTTTTTCTTCTCTTTCTTCTCTTTCTTTTTTTCTTTTTTCTTTTCTTTTTTCTCCTTTTTCTCTTTCTTCTTATCCTCCTTCTTGTCTGATTTTTTTCCTGTCTCTTTTTCTTCCTCTTCCTCCTCTGACTCACTTTCATCCTCAGTACTCGACGACTCCTCGCTCTGTGCCATCATCTCCTGCCGTAGTCGCAGAATCCGATCCTCATGGTTCCCACGTACAGAGGAAGCAGAGTAATTCCGTGCCAAATCGACTACCCCGAGGCTGTCAGGGCCTTTGTTGATAAGATCCCCCGTGAAGATAAGATGATCATGATCGGGTGCAAATGATAATTTCTCCAACAGTGCATCCACTTAATGATATGTACAATTAGCTAAAGCCGGGGGATTAAATGCATGCCGGGTACTTACACGAAGCTTTGCATCCATGTACATCGCCGATGATGATCAGCCTCTTTTGGGATGTTGCGGTCGTTGTCGCAGCGTCATTACCGGGCAACAACGCGGGATTCAATGATTCAATTCGAAGCGGCTTATTGGTAACATCATCATGGCCAGTATGGTCCTGAGTCTTCGATAATAAAGAGATATTTTCAAGCATGTTTTTCGTCTGTTCGATGGTTGCATCGTGCAGCGGAGATGAATGCCCGTTCGGTTGCTGGTCCATGGTTGTATCCCGTTGCCACATCCAGCATGTCACGAGGAGAAGTATGCAAATGAAACAAAATATCGGAGATCTGAATCTAGATCCAAAGAGTTGAATAGATTTGAGCATTCTAGGCTCGACATGGAATGAGTCGGTGGATATGTGATTTGTGGAGGCCGGAGGGCATATCGATTGGCGGGGCGGTGGGATAGCGCGCGCTAAATGATATAAAGTAGAATTGCTTGACAGTTTAGCGAACAACTATATATCTTGGTTTTATGGAAACCGCTTGATCGCTGTAATTGAATTTGTCTGAATATTACTAGTAGACTGCAATTTGCTCTAATTCAACAGGGTTCAAAAAGGGTTGCTGCCATCACAATATATAAAAAAGTACACATCACTAATCAGAGACTGATAGAGCCATAACACCCTTACCACACCATCTTCGTCTTCAAAAATTGGTAGTCCCACTTTTCAAATGGGCTCTTGTCCTCCAGAGCTTCCCATTTAACCAAATCCACCCGTTTCTCACTCGTCTCTTCACAAACCGACCTTTCCATCCTCCAAGCAGGACGACACTCCAGATCCGCGTAGAAATTTAATAAACGGATAACCTCAGGTGACTTAAGGATACTGTCCGCACTCGCGATCGAAAGCCCATATCTTCCCCAGAAGACCTCATTCTCATTCCAGATCCCGTCATGGTCTTGCAGTCTCTTGATCCTGCTGATATCCGCCTCAACGGATTATTTGGGCGGGGGTCTGGGCTTGCGCCTGAGAAACTTGTCTTTTTCACCCATATTAGCGAGAGGGTCATTTAGGAGAGCCTCAAGATCGGCTATGGCTTGATCGCGGTAGGGCTGGAGGAGGGTGATATCATTGGCGTGTTCTTTGAGTTGGTTGTCTTGGGCTTCGATGGTTTTCTTCATAGATGCTATTTGAGAGGCTTGATTACGGACCTCTGCAATCAGGGATGCCATGTCGGGTTTTACGGGTTAATTCTCTTCTGTGTTGGACATGCTGGTGATACTTTGTCGGGAGAGTACAATTAGAGAAGAGAAAGTGTTGGTGCGGCGGGTTGGAGGTTTCTGTTGGTGTGAAGGTGCTAAAACGAGTCTTTATACATGGCCTCTATTGATACTTGTTGACTCATGGCACTGCCTACTGCTGGCCGAAAGGGTTGTCCGATAAACTGTGATGGTTCGATTGGACCTTCTCCGACATCTAAACACATGCAGGTATTCATTATTGCGTCAGTAATCGGCTGGAGGAAGATCGATAGAGAGGTCATTTCTAATACTAGACAATGAATAGACATGATAACAATTAGATTATTAAATGACAGTATAGTATAAGCTAATAGTAGCTAACAAACCAGAAACAACTATCTTCCATACTTCAAAGAACGAATTACATCTCACCACCCGAACCTATTTTTCAGTTGAACATACAACGAGCTCCGAAACGGATCATCCTCTTCAGGCAGCCCATAATCAAGCCAAAGATGCCAATGCTCAATGACCTGCTCGCATAGTTGCCGCTTAGTTCTCCATTGATGAAGACCTTCCAGATCAGCATAGAGATTCATGACACGCATGAAGTATCATACTGGCATTTATGAAATTAGTTCTGTATCGTAAATTAAACGTCACCATCTCAATGTATGCTTTGGTCAAGTCCTCCCGGAACATCTCTCTGGTATCATTGATATCGTCTTCAACGGAGGCCCAGGGCTTGGGTGAATCTGGTTTCAATGCAGCTAATGATTTCAAGTAAGATGCACGGTAAGTGGAGAGGTGTTCATCTTTGTAGGAACGGAGGACTGCTATTTCTCTGGCATTCTCGTGGATTCTACGGTCTTGGGCTTGTATGGTTTGTTGCGTAGATGTTATTTGAAAAGCTTGTCTTTGGACTTCGGCGAGTAGAAATTCGTTTTTCTGTGAGTGTCCCATGTCGGTTTCAATAGTTGGTGTTGTTTTTCTGTAGGTCATATTTTAGTTGATTGTCAGTCGTCTACACAGCCTTCTGGCGTTTTTGATGCCCGATCAAGGGTGTTGTGATGCAAACGTCTTTACTAATTGTATAGAACTATGTTTACTCAACCCCAAAACGTCACCTTCATTTACTATTACCAGTAGTATGGTTGCTTCCGATCAACCTCCCGTTCTTCTGGGACCAACCGAAACAGCCCACAAAGAAAGCTAGTATTCCATGCATCACTATACGTCATAGCAAGACGCGGAGATTCATCCATAAGACAGTGGATTTCCTCAAGCTAGCTCAGCTAGTAGTAGAAGCTAGCTAGACAGAAAGTTGCTCTTTCCACTTAATAGAACCAGTGACCTGCACCCTCGCCATCCCATTCTATGCTTTAGCTGACGGTACCATGAACTCTAAGGGGCTGAATGCTGTCCTGTTTCAAGCCACCTATGTCAAACATCGATGGTCTGCCTGCATAGTTGCCATTCAGGCCGAGTATGCTCCAAATCAGAGTAGAGGTTCATAACACGCATGATCTTACGTGATTGAAGGATCTTGTCAGAATTCATGAAATAAGTCCTATATTTTGAGTGAAAGTCCTGTATCTCTTCACAAGCCAGGGCTAAGTCCTCTTGGATCAGTCTCCTGATCCTGTAGATACCCCGTTTGAACGGATGCCCTGTACCTGGGCTCAGGCAAAAAGGCATGTAGCGCTTTCGACAAGTAGTTTCTTTTAATCGAAGAAGAACATGTTGTTGTGAGTTAGCGCTTGTTGTGAGGTGTTTTTCTCGTCGGAACGTTTGGGCGCTGTCTTTCTGTTGGTATTAGTCCTAAAGACTTTCTCGAGGATGCCTATATTATTGATGCCTGCCTTCAACATCAGAATAAAGATTCTCACTATTGCGTCACAATAGGACTAGTGTGCAGGTAACCATAATTTCTGTCATTTTATCTGTTGAGGGTGGTCGGGATGGAAACGAAGTTTGCCTCGTATTGTCGTCGAACTACCGTGGCGCAAGCTTTTCAATCAACAGCAGACCTTCCGAAGGAGATGCAATTCATGAATACTAGTGTCCTCGGAAATTCAATAAACTCATTTTTATTTTCGGAACTCTCTGTGTTTCCTGTATCATAATGCGCTCATCTCCCCCGCATAGTACCATCAAACAAACGCCACCACAAGTATATAACCTCTAGTTTCTCAAACCCATAGACTATACTATCAATCTCTCCATCCTCACACTAAGTCCAAATTATAAGTTTCCCAATCAGCAAGATGTTCTCCCGAATGAACCCAAGAAACTACCGCTCCCGCTCCGGCAGCAGCCAATCCCAATCCGACGAGGATCCCTCACGCCAAGTCGGCCAGGAGACTTATCAGGGAGATTTTGCTACGATGGATCCGACTATGCAGGTACTACTCCTTTGTCCCCCAGGCCTCATGGAATTGGATCGTGGCTGATGTGTGTGCGCGGTTGATAGCGACAAAGTGTATCCTCGATGGGCGTGGATGGACGTCGGACGTCGGAGAGTGAGCAGGGTTTACAGCAGGGGATGAAAGAGGGGATGCAACAGATGTCACAGGGTATGCAGCAGGAGAAGGAAGCTGGGAAGCAGGCAGCGCGACGACCGAGTTGGATGAAGAAGATGGCGAATTTGCCGGAGGAGGTTAATGAATTTGGTTGATTTATGTATACTAGTGAGATACAGGTATTCAGACTAAGTAAGAGGAAATGTCTCGTTCCACTTTCCGTCGCCTTCCCAAATAACCGGGTCCGTAAAATCTTCATACCAAAAGCCTCCCAACGAGTTCAACTTGATAAATCCAAACCGGAAGTACTCTGCATCCCCCTCTCTCTGCCTAGTCCAGTTAAACGCATCCACCGTCCCGTCTTCCTCCCGGAACCCAAGGTACCTCTCGACATCGTTCACCAACACGCTGATCCCTTCAGCATCTGCCGCAAGCAGATCTGGTAAGTTGAAAAGGATGTTCCGGCTAGACATGATCAAAGGCGCTGCAATTTCAGGGAGAGGCGAGCCAAGCTGCGCCCCATCGAGAAGAGCTCCTGGTGTCTGGAGGATGCTGTCGAAGCCCCAGCGGGCGATGCCGTTGATGAATAGACCTACCAGGAGGCCTTGGTAGAGGAGACAAGGGCGGGTTTGGATGGTTGTCCCCGGGAGGAAGAGTAAGCTGAGGATGTAATGGTGGATTCGTAGGTTCATGTTTGGTACGACCAGCAAAATTAGGACACTAGCGACCAACACGCCATACACGCCCAGCATTTTGGGCATTCGTCCTTCATTTCGGAAGGCGATGGCTTGGGTGATGACAATGGCAACGAGGATGGTGACAATAGTTATTAGGGCCGGGATTGCGCCTGGTTGCTGTTGGATGTCATGCGGCGTGAGACGGGAAATTGGGATTTTGTCGAATGTGTCGGTATTCAGAGCTCCAACCCAGCAAGCCCCGAGCCATAGGACTGTTTTGTCCCAGTGGGCTTCGAGTCCTGCCAGTGTTTGTCGAACGCAATAGTAGTATATAGCGAACCCACCAAAAGCAGCGGGAAGGAATCGACCCAGCGCAGTCGATACGACTTCATAGTAATTGGGATACTCAGGAGGATCCGAAGACAGCCCCACTTGAAAGTATACAATAAAGAAGATAGAAGTATAAAAGGCCGCAGGCGAAGAGATGCAAAGTGAGAGCACGGTAGTGATCGCTACAGCAAAGGTGAACAGTGACCACCGGAGATCTGGACAGTCGATACCTGCATCACCTGGTGCACCGCCCTTATCAAAGGTGAAAGAGAGAGGGAAATTCGAGGAGAATCCCAGACTCGATATACCATTCTTTTCCACAGCTGGGAAATCGTTTTGCTCGCCTGTACGGTGGAGGATACCGCAGCCTCCTTGCTGGTCCGAAATAAGCCCAGCATGCAATGCTGCCGGACAGATGAACGAGTCGCCACGATAGACGCCCGCATCACTGCCATTCGAGCCTCCAACGACCAAGCTCCGGTAGTTGATCTCTTGGGGCCCCACGACGTATGGTTCTAGCACCATGGAGAACGAACAGCCTGCCGGACAGCGGAAGGCGAATCCCTCTTTGTCAAAGGGACGACAGTTGTCGCCATTAATTCCACAAGAAGTCGAACTAGACCTGTCAAGTGTAAGCCAAGGAATCCTGCAAATGCAGTGGAACTAGGGTTCTCACCAAAGTCTATCGTGGCATGCAAGTTTAACCGGTTTTCCATATCCAGGCACGTCGATGCCATTAACCGATTTATGTATAACCGAAAGAAAAATAACAAACCACACAATCACAACAGAAAAAAGAAGCCCAATCTTCGCCCTTTTACTAGGACAGTACCGATCAATCAACCGCCCCGGAGCGGTTTGCCATCGCCGCAGCCAAGGCGTTATCTGATACTTCCGCGGCTGCGGTGGGCCTTTCGCCCAGTTAATCACCCCCGACACTGTGCATTGGAAACGCTCTTCTCTTTTCAATTCCGGGCGCGGCAATTGAACAAACGTTGGAAGAAGAGGCTCTGAGCTGTGTTCCTCGTCGCCGAGCCTGGCGGAATCGAAGCTCTCGCGAGGAACCGCCACGAAGTTACTACTGTCGGAATCATGGTCCAGGCTTTCCAGGGGATATTCCTGGGGTTCGCGGGGAGTCTTTTCAAATGATGATGAAGACGATGAACTCTGCCCTGAACTACCTCCTGGTCGCATTTTGTCGTGAACTGAGTTATGGCAGTCGTCAGAATTCCCCGGACGCGGCGATAGGAGAGACGGGACTTAGTCAGATCGCCGCGGTCCACCTCTCCATCTACGACTCTGTTTCTTCTGTTCTACTCTGTAAACAAGAGAATATCATATTAAGATTAAATCTAACATTAACATAACGAGCGACAATAACTGCCACCTACATGCCACGAATCATCATCATCAGCATGTCATAGGGGTATCAACATAAATCATCAATTATCAACCATTGCCTGTCCAGCACAGCGCCACCGATAAAGTCATAAAGGTCGGCGAATATGGCTGCAAATTATATCAAGATATTAGGAACACAGGTCCAATAGGACCGTTGCACCGTCGTTGGATATGTTCGGTGTTTATACGTCGATTCGCGCTCACTAGACACTGAACCGAAATCTGCGATCGCAGACACGGTACTACGTTTAGACAGCAGAGCGGTTCCAGCGGCGACGACCGGTGGAGCCGTCCTTGCGGAAAGTGAACCAAATGCCCTGTCTATTGTCAATTCCCTGAAAACCATCACAACATTATCCGGGAGAATACGCACCACAATGCCAGAAACGAGCCAGACAAAGGCGGAGATGAAAGCAAAAGCCTCAGCAGCCTTCCAGCGACCACAGGTGTCACCGCTCAAAAAGTTGTTCCAGTGCCAGATGCTTCCGCAGTTGAGCTGGTGAATGGCATCGACGAGGATACCAAAAGCAGCGAACCAGGCGAGGGAGAGGATAATGTCAACTATAGGAGAGTTCATATTAGCATTCTGCAATCGGTGGGTGGATTTTGAACCAGACTGGTGACGTACTTGGGAACAAGAAGAAGCCAAACGAGCAAGGAATCAACCAGAGCAGGGCCAGCAGTATCGAGACACCGGCGACGACTTCAGTGTAGATCCATCTCGCCTGGGGCCAGGGATCGATGTTGTCGAGCTTGTCGAGGTAGTGACCGATGATACCGGCAACGATCTAAACCGTCAGTTTTCCGTTAAGACCTCAAAGCAGGGACTTATACATACAGCACCGAAGAAAATCTCAGCCACGCGAAGCACGACCGACACAATACGCGAGATCACAGGCATGATGGTGGGGTGTTTATCGATTTGACAGCAGATGGAGTATATGCAGGTGTCTCAGTCGAGAACAAAAGGATCAAGAGTCTGCAGGAGTAAAGTACAGAACAGAAAAGCCCAGAGGACCGACGCCTTTTAAAAGTCAGACCAAAACATTCACACGTACCGCTTAAAATCTTGCATGGTGGTCCATGATCTGCGGCTTTATTTGCCCAACACAGACCATTTAATGCGGTTGCCCAACTTCTGGCCGATTTCCCGTCATCCCGAGGAGGAAGGATCGTCGAGTCGGTGTCCGATCACTGTCTGTTTACTGTGTATATAGAAAATACGTACTCTGTACCACAAAGTGCTGTTTCTTACTGTCATTTTCAATTCCATCTACCATGTGAGTACACAGAGTACGACACTCAGCATTAATGTATTGGGCATATACTCCGTACAATGACATTACGGAGTACAGCACAATGTGACGGACTGCAGAAGCAAATCATGTGGACCGATAGACCCATAGCAGCTAGAACAGTTAAGGCTAGCGGGCTCCATAGCTCTACATTAGCGGCATCCACTAGCGTCCAATAGCTAGTCCATAGACCCAAAGCCAAAGCTTCCTTTTAGGCGTAAACTCGGCCACTTGAGAGTAAGGCGCAGGCATCAGCTAATCATCGCTAGAATTGGGGCTCGGCCACGATTTGCCGTTTTGGGTAGGTGGCTGTGTCTGATTCATAACATCTGTCGAATATTCTGGACTCGTTCATTGCGCTGTTTGCTCTGATTTCATGGGAGAATAACCCAATGATTGTGTGAGTGTCTGTTTACCGGAGGCTCCGCGGAACAATACTCCTCGCATGACGTCATTTGAATATCCACTGACTCAGCCCTACAGAATGGGAGGACGAGAGAAAGTGCCATTGAATATTACAGTACAAAAGTAGAATATGTCAAACTAGTTATAGTCCCTTCTTATCATAATCCAAAAACCACTCCATCACTGTCCGGAATATCCCCTTTCCACCACTCTCAACCACATCCCCATGGCACGGAATGATCCGATTGAACTCCCACTTATCAATCCTCTGCATAGACTCCCGGAACGCCTTCCGATCATTCGCAGAAAGAACATACCATGCAAACCGCTTTTGCCATGTCGCATCCCCAGTAGCCGACAAGAATGGGTGTACCGCCTTCGTGAGAATCCCAGAGTCTGCCGCCTCGTTCGTCAGTGAATACTGTTCCCTGGCTGGCAGGTTGAAGAGAAGATCCGCCTCAATAAGCGTCCGCGATCGTTTATGTAGAAACACCAGCTCCTTCGAGCCGTGGCCGTGCACGTATTCAGCTTCAAACTCGGAGTCGAATTCCTCCGTAATCTTCTGCTGAGCGTTGTTCTTTTCCTTCGTGAAGACATGATGAAAAGGTGTGTCCTTGAACTCCGGGTTCGATTGCCGTTTCTCCCATAACCCTTCCGGTCCGATGACCTCGGCATCCGGATACTCCTTCTTCCACGATGTTATGTGCAGATGGTGCTCCATGTCCGGCGCGGCAATGTATTTGAGCTTCCCGCCCAGTGAGTCCACCGCTTTTCGTACTTCTGGCGTGAATGACACGGGGGAGAACACGGCAACGGATCCGGAGGCTAACCTGACTATTATGAGACGAGGATACATTAGTAAATTGATATCAATCAATAATCAATCGGGATACATACCTAATGTCCCCCGCGCTCCGAACTTGAGACGCCCGAATCGTGCAAAAGGGAGGCTCATGGTCACCACGTCCGGAGTGACATTGCGGATGACCATAACCTGTGTTGGAATGTTCGGAAAGAGGTTAGCCATGATGGCACAATTTCTGAGCTTGATAACAGGTAAAATATAATCTGTCGTGTTTAGAGAGCTGCCGCGACTGTAGTCGATGGCGGGTACCTCGTCGGGAGCTTCGAGCGACAGGTACGGCTTGGACTTAGGCACGTGCTTCAAGGTCTTGAAAAATAATTCGAAATGAGGTACTTCAGAAGTAAAGTCACTGGCGGTAGGTAGAAGAAAGATGGCAGGTGGTAGGAATGACGTTGGGAAGTTGAGGGGCTTCAGCTGAATGCGGCAGAAAATATGCGAAATGTGACAGGTATTCCTGAGCAGATTCGAAGCGCAGGATTCAATTAGTAAACGTAAATTTACATGCAAGTGTGTGTTGTATCTTGTTGCGATCATGAGTTTTGTGATGTCGCCATGTACCTGGACTTTCTAAGTATGACGTATTGCGCGCTTGTACGCGATTGGCGCGGACTACACACATAGCAACAGAAGAGCATCACCGTATATCCATATGTCCATTAAGCAAGCGTATTATCTACATATCTATAACACTCATAAGGGTATCGCTCATAAATCACCCCTGCCATTACTCCGATTTTTCCCATCTCAACCATACCAACCACGTCTGGTCTGTTGTTCTTCTTGACGATGCGGAATAATGCAGTCCTTTCTGTCATACAGGTCGATGATAGCTTGCCATGTATCGAAATCAAGGCTGAAGACGGCTTGGTGCTTCTGAATACCCTTCTTCTGAGCCTCGATTGGTGCGTATGGTTTAGTAGGATCTAGAGTTAATATGTTAGCGCTAAGGTCCAATTTTAGATGGTAAAGAGGAAACTCACGTAGTGTTGGCAATTCCCGGCTGTCGAAAGAAATACCCACTGTGCCATCTCTCACCAAGAAGCTAACGTAGAATAAATTCTCCACGCTCTGCCCAAATGACCTCGGGTTGATGCAGAAGAGAAATAGCGGTATGCCGCCATCATCGGCAATATCATACTTGTCCATCACCTCGTGTATTACCTCATCGCTAGGGTCTTCCATCTGCCTTAGGATTCGGTCCACTATATCCATGCGTTGCTCTTGTGTTGTGGCAAGCAATTTGTTGATCTTCGAGCACATGGTCGTCAGGTTGGATGTCTCTTGTCGGTCAAGATCCTCTTCTTGAAGCTCCTGAGGTCGAACAGCCTGCGAAGGATCGATACGCTCTCGAGCTTTCCGCTGAGTCTGCTGCCGCGTGCGCTTCTGGACCGACAAGGGACCCAGCAAGAAGCCCGATACGGACGGTCGAGCGTTGTGCTGGAAACAAGCCGAACGGCCAAGCCAATCCCAATTCATAGCATCTCCTTCATCCTCCTCATCACTATCAGCTTCCGGGTCTACTTGCGATCTGCCGGCTGCACGGGGGCGGAAACGTTGGGTACTGCTGGTGAGCATAGCGTGCGAGTCTTCCGGGCCGTGGCGCATAAACGTTATGCATTTCGAGACAAACTCGTCCACGTCGATGCCTGCTGTTGCATCACCCATCGAGAGTTGCGTTGTTTTCTTGTACGATAGATCCGCTGCACTGACCAGAAGACGGGAGTCGATCGTGGCGTCCGAAGTCTGCTTGACATGGTCGAAGTATTCGTTCGCTTTCTTGACGGTATCTCGAATTCCGTGGTTCCCGGCCTGTAGGTATTCGCTACGTGAATCTATACCACAGTTTAGTTGCAAGATCACCAAGAGACAAGGTCCTGGGCAATCGCATTACCATGGAGATCCCGCGTCAGGTCTCTCAGACCCTTCCGAAGCCATCTTCTTTCAGTCTCATCCTGATCCGGATCGTAGTATCTCTTATTCCGGTCTGCTTGCGACGACGGGACTTGTGACTGCGTGCTGCCTTGGATATTCGATGTTCGATCCGCGAGGCGCTGTCGCTTATTCGTATTGGGCCTCGAGGCCATGCTGTCTCTCTTACGGTTCCTTGCCGATGCTTTATCGTTCTCCTTATCCGAGCGAGTTGTCTCTGGCGAAGATCGGTCCGTAACGTCGTCTGTAGGGATAGCGCGCGCCATGCTAACTTTTTTTCCTCCCGCGGTTTAGTCAAACGGAACGAGCGAGCGACGAGGCTGTGATACACAGCAGACAATGACCGGAGATAATCACGCCAGTCTTCGCGTGTAGAATAATCAAAACGAACCAACTCCAAACTGAAGAACAACAACAACAGCTCTGACTCGAGCAGAACTCTCGAGTTGTCCAAATCACCTTATCCACTTTCGATCTGCGACGCGTTCCACGCGTTGCGATAACCGTCACGTGATCACGTCTCCCACCCCCGCGTCATCGCGGCACTGCAGCCAATCAGTGACCGTCTGGACAGCTGTAGCCCATTCCGCTTGATATGATATTCAGCGACCTCCCCAGTCCAGAGCAGTCGAAGACCAGATAATGACGGTGTGAGCAGCAGAAAGCCTCGAGTGAAGGATGGAGGCATTTACATTTGCTACTTCCACGCAGGTGGACTTCCCAATTCACGTCAGAATGTCCGTGAGCTTTCCGATGAGTTAAGGACCGGATAACTCGCTAACTTGGTACAGTGGCTCGTTGGAAGGAAAGCAGAAAAACATCCCCTTCTCCGTCTTGCTGAAACAGCCGGAGCTGCGACATATCGGCTCATCCCAGAATCCCGTCTCCGATCTGTTCGTTACGGCACAGCTATGGTCCGATTCGAAACCGTTGGGAGTACCGGTACAGACCTCGTACAAGGCGTTCAAGGCCCGGCGGGTATGGAATGAGTGGATGCAGATGCCAATGTCGGTCAAGGATGCTCCGTCCAAGTGTCAATTAACTATCACGGTCTGGGACCTGTCCCCATTTGCCGGCGAAGGGGCACATGGCCATTACATCCCGTTTGGTGGAACAACTATCCCGATATTCGATGACGAGGGTAAATTGAAGACGGGGAGGCAGAAATGCAAGATCTATCGTCATAAAGCTGCCGATGGCATGTCGTCGACTACCACTCCGTCGAGCCCACCTCCGAAGCGACGCAAGGCCCAAAATCCCGATCCGTTAGGTCCGTCGGTGGAGGAATTGGAGCTGGAAAGAGTAGAGGTCCTGATCAAGAAACACGAGATGGGCGAAATACCGCGGATCGACTGGATGGACCAGATGGTTTTCCGACAGCTGGAGAAGCTCAAGCTGAATGCTGATGAGGCTGCGAGGAAACGGGCGATCCGTCTAAAAGCTACGAAGCAAAAGACTGCGCAAGACGATGAGGATGATGACGAGTCCGATCAAGATACGGACGATGAAAATTTCGTTCTATACGTTGAATTTCCACGCTTCGATCATCCTATCGTTTGGACAGACTATCAATATCCTCCGCCACCCGTTTCGGCGCATCTTCAAAATACACCTGCAAACCAGGCTGCATTGAAGCCCCTTCCGGAAGTCCGTTTCGGCCCTGGGATTGAGGGTGGTGAGGCTGTCATTAGGATCTATGATCCTGAATTAGGTCAGACAGGGAACCCGTGCGAGGATAAACACAGAAGATTAATTCGCAGTCATCGCACCGGTATTATGGACCGTGACTTGAAGCCAAACCCCAAGATCCGCGATGAACTAAACACCATTCTCTCTTATGAACCAACACAGGATCTCAGCGCCGAAGAGAAGGATCTTATCTGGAGATTTAGATACTTTTTGGCTCGCGAGAAGAGAGCACTTACCAAATTCGTCAAGTCGGTTAACTGGCGAGATGTTGGAGAATCCCAACAAGCAGTGGACATTCTTCCGAAATGGACAGAAATTGATGTCGACGATGCCTTGGAACTTCTTGGTCCTACGTTCGATAATGCTGCAGTTCGCTCTTACGCTGTAGAAAGACTTCGAAAGGCTGATGATGATGAATTACTTCTATACCTTCTGCAACTAGTCCAAGCGCTGAAATACGAAGACAGCCCTGATGAAGATCTACAAGATACAGCGTATGACTCTTCTTTGGCCAATTTCCTTATCTCGCGGGCTGCCAACAACTTCAAACTTGGAAGTTACCTACACTGGTATCTGATGGTCGAATGCGATGACGCTGGCCCGGGAACCTTGTCAGCACAGCGCAGGCTCTTCGCTCGTGTGGAATACTATTTCATGGCAGAACTGGAGAAAGTCCATTCAGAGAACAGGAAGACGCTTTTACGCCAGGGTGAACTTGTCGCTGTTCTCTCGAAAATCGCCAAAGACATTCGATTCTCTCGAGATACCCGGCCTTTGAAGATCGAAAAGTTGAAAAGGTACTTGAAGGACCCGAAAAACGACATTGCTCACATAGATCCGCCTTTGCCGTTGCCACTGGATCCTGATGTCTTAGTGACCGGCTGCTTCCCAGACGAATCCAACGTTTTCAAGTCGTCTCTTTCTCCGCTAAATGTTACCTTCAAAACGTCCGACGGGCGTAGATACCCAATCCTCTTCAAAGTCGGCGATGATCTTCGACAGGACCAGCTCGTTATCCAAATCATCATCCTCATGGACCGTCTCTTGCAAAAGGAGAACCTGGACCTCAAACTCACACCATACCGTATCCTGGCGACCACTTCAACAGCAGGTGCTGTCCAGTTCATACCATCCACCTCCCTCTCCGCAGTCTCCGCCAAATACAAATCCGTCCTCGCCTACCTCAAGGCCAACAACCCCGACGACCATGAGCCGCTTGGCGTCCGCAAAGAGACCATGGATACCTACATCAAGTCTTGCGCCGGGTACTGCGTGATCACTTACCTTCTCGGTGTAGGAGATCGTCACCTGGAGAACCTTCTCCTCGCACCGGACGGTCATTTCTTCCACGCGGACTTTGGCTTCATCCTCGGTCGCGATCCCAAACCCTTTGCACCCATGATGAAGCTCTGCAAGGAGATGGTAGAGGGAATGGGCGGGACCACGTCCCCTCTTTATCTCCAGTTCAAGCAGTACTGCTTCACCGCGTACACAACACTGCGCAAGTCTGCGAACCTTATTCTCAACCTTTTCAGTCTGATGGTTGATGCTAATATCCCCGATATACGGGTTGAACCGGATAAGGCTGTTCTGAAGGTTAAGGAAAGGTTCCATCTGGAGATGACTGAGGAAGAGGCTATAAGGCATTTTGAACAGCTTATTGGTGATAGCGTCAATGCTATCTTTGGTGTGGTTATTGATAGGATTCATGACTTTGTGCAGGGGTGGAGAGCGTGAGGTATTTATGGTTTTGGGATATTGACGTGAATTTGTTGTAAGGCGCAAAGGCTTAGATTCTTGATACCCATGTAGGAATCATTTACATTGCATACCACCACAATCTAAATACATCGCTGGTTACCTGCCCTTTCTTCCAATCTCCTCGTCCACCTGCGGATAAGCATCAAGTTCGATCCAATCGTGACCAGCATCATCGCTTCCCGCTGCCCGTATCTCATGAGATAACCTGTCATGCTTAGGCGACTCTCCAGCAATGAACATCTCATTTCGACTATCCCAAGCATCTTGCCCATTCCTAGCATCCACATCTCCCTCATGTGGTTTAATTTTCCTCTCTTGCTCATCCTCATCATCCTCCGGCGTCCCTTCCCTACAAGCCCACGCATCAACAAACCTAAGAACCTCCCTTGGCCACCAGCGCTTCATAACAAGTAACCGGAACGGCACGAGGAGGATAATCAGAACCGGGAATGCTGGCGCGGCTTGTGTCAACGTCACGATAAAGATCGCGACAGTGATGGCAATCTGGAAGATCGTGTAGATGTGGATGGGGATGTAGGAGGGTTTTCGCATGGTTGTATTGTCTTCCATGTCGCTGTTTTCTTTCTTTGATAGAGCTGAGGGTAAGGGTGGGAGTTCGGATGGTGGTGTGAGGAGATAGAATGCGCGGTATAGGATGGGGCTGGGCTGTTAGCTCCTATTTCCTGCTTCGAAGAGAGTTTTGTGTTCACTTACTTAACCGATAAGCTCTGCTCTCCCATAAACATGAACAATCCCGCAAGTACACTCGTCGGGGTTAAGCCCAGAACCTTCATCAACGGCGGGCTAACAAATGCAAAAATCGCCCCTGCGTGCAAAAATGCGGACCAGCGCTGCTCGTACACGCGCTTAACCTCGCGAGTCTGCGTCTTCTCCTCGCCATCTACAATAATCGTCGAGGTTTCTTGCTTTACATGCATGAGAGACTCCGAATGTAGAGGAGCCTGCGGTAATAGCCCATTGGACGGTGGTATACCCAGAATCCCACAAATAGCAGTTGTAGTGCCTAGTAGGATAATATCCCACGCGAAACCGCCAGGTTTCCGAGTTCCGTATCGATCAATCGTGCAGATAATAGAGCTAACCTCATGATCGAAGAAGAATAGAATGGTGATGATGATTCCCGGGACTATAGCCCCGAAGATCCATGGGACCGGTAGCTTCCAGAACTCAACGAAGAATCTCTCCCGATCTGGAGACGTAGGTCTGAAGGTTTCACTGACTGGGAGAGTCATCTTGTCTAGCCGTGCCAGTTCGCCTACATACGGCAGGCCAATGAAAAGGATGATGGATATCGCAGCCGCATATTCGGTCAGAAGGGTCCGAACGTAGCGATGGAACAGAGGCCGCCAGCTTTCTGCTGTGGAGAGGAAAATAGCAAAGAGCATTGTTCCCACCGCGCCGATGATGGCGTACAGAAAGGCTGCGAGCGAGAGGTCCGAATGTGCTCTTTCGAGCTCTTGGATGGCTTTGTGGAAGTAGATGATGCTATTCAGAAGAGAAAATATTTCTGTAGCGAATGTGGTCACATAGCGCATTGTCCAGTCATGGGCGTTGATGATGGCTAATATGTAATGCAGCCAGGCGGAATGGATCAGTGACCAGGCCATAAAAGGCAAGAATGGTATCTGCCAAGGACCAGTGTCAGACAGAGTAGTACGGTAATGAGTTGGTGACGGTCACCTTGAACGCTTCATCGCAGAGCTTGTATATGTTCTCAGCTAGCACGGAAAAAGGTCCGGTGACACCAAGGATAGTCAAGGGCTGGATAGAGAATCTGAAGGTCCATACTCAGCATTATTCCCGGAATACTATAACTAATAAAGGCTTCTATGGATGTTGACAGCGAAAGTCAAAAAGTTTACAGAAAGAAGAGCAAGAATATACGACAACAAAAGCACATACAGAGAAAATATAACGCCACAAAGTCCTGTGCTGAATACGACTTCGATAGTTCCCCAGCTCTTCCCGGTCAAGACATACAAATCACTCGCGAACGTGATGCCGGGTAAGAGGTTCGTGAAGAAGACGTACACGGCACTAGCAAAGATCAGTTGATTGAAAACAGTCCAGTCAGATTTATATCGGCGACGAATATTGATGATATCTTGTTTCACCAGCCTGAAAGGTCGTAGAGGACCGCCAGCAGCCACTGAACCCCGCAGCACTCGGAATGGCTTCGGGGTATGCTTGGAGGGAGTGATGATAGAGTGGGCATCATCCTCCGGTGCATCTGTTTCTGAGTCGCCTCGCTTCTTGTTCTTCCTCCGCCTTAAGGGGGATCTGTGCCGAGCAGACGAGTTGCGCGTGGAGCGTGGTCGGAATGCTGAGATCAGAGACATGGCGGGGTGCCCTCAGAAAACACACACGCCTCGATATAGACCCCTTGCGGGCTATTCAAGGATAAAAACCAAGCGAGCTGGTTCTGTTAGCAGTCAATTAGCAAAGGCATCATCCTGAAACCGAATGCAGCCCTCAGTCAGTACAATGATTGATTGATGACGATGATGCCAAGGGATGTCGAATATGCCACGGCTTTCATGACCGCCTTCTCTTCCGCTTTCCATTTCTGCCCACCAGCTTTTCGAAATCTTGGGAATTTCCTCAATTTGAGTATGAGTTCAGGTCAATTAATATGGACGTCAGTTCTAGTCCCATATTTCAATTGATCCCATATAATCATCTCTCAACGGTTGTTGTTTTATGATGGCAGCGAAGTTCATTCCGCGCCAGACTTTTCCCCACTATGGATCTATCCCAAGGTCATACTACCTGGGTCACCATCGGGCTGGGTTGAATAAGATGAAAAATATGCTGTCCTCTATTGATTATGTCGTCGAATGCCGCGACTACAGGGTTCCAGTGACCTCGATCAATCCCATGTTTGAAGAGGCACTGGGGAGCACAAGGCGCTTGGTTGTATACACCAAGAGAGATCTTGGTGCGGACCCTCAGCCTCCTGTACGGCAACAGGTAAGTTCAAAAAACTTCCCATCTTAGTCCAGTGGTTGGTGCATAGATCTCACAGTCATTTCTCCCCGCAGGTCGAAAAGACAATCCAAAGATTCGACCCCACCAGCGCCGTCTTCTTCGTCAGCTCGTCCTCCCGAAGAGACATGAGTCCTATAATCAGACACCTCCGGGACGATGCGCAAGGGCCGGATAATCTTGTTGGGAGCCGTGTCATGGTGGTTGGAATGCCGAACATTGGTAAATCGACGTTGATCAATGGTCTGCGCAACTACGGCGTGAAAAGGGCCAAGGCTGCACAGTCTGGGGGTCAACCAGGTGTCACACGGAAAATCGGAACACCAATCAAGATAATTGAGAGGGAGAGCGGTTCTCATGTATATGTGCTGGACACTCCAGGTGTATTTATGCCATATGTCCCGGATGCAGAGAACATGCTCAAACTAGCACTATGCGGATGTGTGAAGGACTCGGTGATTTCGTCCTTGACGTTGGCAGATTATTTGTTATACCATATCAATCTGCATAATGAGGGGGCGTATCAGCGGTGGTCTGAACCAACAAATGAGATCGGTTCTCTCCTCGAGAATTTCGCTCGGTATACCGGCCTTCTGGCCAAAGGCGGAATTCCGAACACCGACCTTGCAGCATTGACCTTTATCCAAAAATGGCGGTCTGGCGAGCTCGGAAAGTTCATCTTGGATGATTTGCGGGCTGAACAGTACCGACGTCAAGAGGGATTAACCGAGTCAGCAACCAGTATAACTCAAGCGCTGAAGGCAGATAGAATGGCGAAGAAAGGGAGAGGTCAACAGGACACAGGATCCGAATAATTTGTAAAAAAGGGGTTCCATGTACAAAAGGACGAACATTGCGCTGGTATCATCAAGGGGCCTTGTTTGCCTTTCCCGTCAATGCATCACATTATGAAAATAGCAAAAACATGAACGTATACAAGTACCCAATGCGAAAAAATGAGAATTGACACCCGTGACGCCAGTAAGATGAAAAGAACAAAATAAAAAGCGACCTGAAACACCTCCGTCCGCGAATGTATCAAGAGATCTTGTCCAAAAGCCGTCTCCTCCGCCGGTCAACGAGTTCTTCTTGTACTTCTTCAAGAGACGGCAATCTCCATTCCATTCCATCTCCTGCGTCACCTGGCAGAGGCTCCCACCCATCCTCGGCACCATCTTCTTTTTCGCCGCGAAGATGTTTCATGGCTTCTTCCTCTTTTTGCCTCTCGTGTTCCAGGAGGGTACCATCCTCTTCATCTAATCCGTATCCGAAGTAGTTCGCGTCCACCTTCTTAGTCGCGATATCACCACCCCGTCCGCGCTGTTCACCTTCCTCCTCCGCCGGCCCACGACCCCGTCGAGCCGCCGCCTCAAACATCTCCTTCACACCCGGTAAATCTCTAGCGCGACCGAAATATCGATACCCTTTCCCTCCGCCTGGTATTTCCCTTCCCTCCTCATCGTACACGCGACCCGAGCCTCGCATATAATTCGGCCCGCCCAGGTTCCGGATTTGCATCTCCCACGTCCATTTTTCGCGCATAAGCTTATTGATCTCGTCGTTCAAATCCCGAATTTGGTAGTCGCTGAGACTCTGTTCATGAATGCGGGACACTTTTCGCGAAATTTCCTTCAGGACCTGGCCGCGCCATTTCTCGCACATGGGAATCGAATCGACCGTCGTGATGGCTTTGGGACGACGGGTTCGCCCCATGTCGATGATGCCCAGATCTGCGGCCTGTTGGGCCCGGAACCGGAAGAGCATCGATTGCGCTTTCTCGCTGTTACGCGCCTGTTGGTTGAGAGCGACATGGTTAGTGATTTCCTAACAACGGGTTTCGGGGGACAAGCTGGAGAGGTTTTTCGGGTTGGTAAACTAACCATGATGAAAGGCTGTCTGAGTGAATCCGCCGAAAAGGGTTCTAAGCGTCGCGGAGCGAGAGGAAGGTTGTAGAGACGACAACTTCGTGCCGAAGAGCTTGAAGCCTGAAGCTTGACAGCTCGTAGGTCGGGAAACCAGCGTTAATTTACCCGCGCGGGTAATGATTGACGCGCGGGCCGTTAACGTCTAACGAGTCTTGGATATTTATAAATGGTTTAGGTTATTTAGACGGGCCTGTTGAGGTATTTTAATACATTGATATTTGAGGTCTGATAGACTAGGAGAAAAACTTCTGCACGGTTGAGGTTCTAACGTTACTCCGACGCAACCAAGGCTGTTTAGAATGAGCACGAGATCTATGAGAACTCATTGAACATAAATAATTACATTTAAAACATAGAGAATAGTGCTATGAAATCATCAAACATGGAGAAACATCAAATATAAATCGACCCTTCGGCATTAATCCCTAAACAAGACAGCCTCCAGGACTATAGATGACCAAAATGCACCATTCACCATTATCCGATCGACAGAAATAAGAAAAAAGTAAAAACAGATCATCACAGGCATCGTAACATATACACATTAATAAAGCAAAGCAAAAATCAGAGATAGCGCTGTCCTCTCAACCATCACGTACCCTATCCGACTACCGTTCATGTCATGTAGAGCATTCCCTTACAGGAATCCCTTCGTGTTGCTGGGCATCCTCTGTGGGATATCACCCCCATTACTTCCCCGACGGCTACCGACATCACTGAAGGCGGGCATAGGCCTTCCAACGGCACTCCCCCTTTCACCCCACAGACCCTTCCAGCTATCCAACTCACGTTCCATCCTCAAGCTCTTCTCTTTCTCTTCGCGGAGTTCTCGTTCCGAGCGACGGACGAGGAGCTGTGTTTCGGAGTCGCTCTGCTGGAGTTCTTCGATATTTGCCAAGAGGCGCTCGATCTTGTCACGGGATTTGCCGATTTCGTCTTCCAGCTGAGCGTTCATCTTGTCCCGTCTTTCGATCTGGGATTGGAAGTCCTTGACGGTGCGGTCGATGTTGCGCAGAGAGCGCTGCTCTGTGGTGTGCTTGTTTTCTTGCTCTTCAAGGTGAGCTTCCAGCTCCTTGATTCGCTTGTGCAGGAAGCGGACGTCCTGGCTACCAGTCGAGTAGCTCTTGGTTTCCAGGTCGACGCACCGAAGCTGCGCTTCCTTGAGTTGCTTCTCCAGGGCTGCCTTGTCCTTGAAGAGTTGGGCGTTCGACTCTCTCTCGGCGGTGACCTCCTTCTGCATCTCGGTGCCCAAGGCCTCGGCACGTCTCATCTTGCCAACAGCGGCGGCAGACACATCTTCCTGCTGGGCAAGCTTCGACTTGAGCTCGAGCAGCTCACGGTCCATGCTAGCGGCATTGCGCATGGATGGGCTCTCGCCCCTGGCAAGGTCCTCCAGTCGTTCACCTGCCTCAGACAGCCGCGTCTCGAGCATCTTCTTCTCCTTGAACAACATGTCTCGCTCGGCTGTGACATCGTCGACAGAAATACGGAGGCTTCTCACCTGGGACAGGAGAGAAACAATCTTGCTCTGGGCCTCGTTGTGGGCGTCCACGGCTTCGTCGCGAGAAGTCGTCACATCTTGGAGCGCAATGTCCATGCGCGCCTTCTCCTTGGCCCAGGTCGAGCTGTTGAGCACCTCATTGTCCCACTTGCTGCGGAGGTCCTCGAGTTCTTCGCGAAGACGAGAGTTTTCGGAACGAGCATTGAGCACCTTTTCACGCTCCATCTCGAGCTCGTTGTTCAGCGTCGAGAATTCACGCTGGTATTTCTGTCTCGTCTGCTCCATCGATGTCTCCTTGTCTTCAATGTCGATCGCCCGCTGGTTCCTGTAGTCCTCGAGCTCATTCTGGAGACGTTGCTTGGTCTGGAGCGCGCTCTGAAGTTCAGCGGTCTGGTCCTCCATTGCCGCCTCCAGGGATTGGGTTTGACGCTGCAAGTCTTCCACAAGGGCGTCCATCTGCTTCCTCTCAGCCATGATCTGTGCACACGTATCTTCGGCTTCCTGGGATTGTGATTTGGCAAACTGCTCGGCTCTGGTAGCCTTCAGAACAGCAATCTCAGCCTGCTCGAGTTTACTGAAGTAATCGTCCGCACGGCTCTTATATAGACCAAGACTTGACTCGAGGTCAGCGGACTTGGATGTTTCCCCGTCCAATCTGATCTGCAGGTCAGAGAATTCTTGAAGAAGCTGGTTCCTGCTAGCGGCGTCTTGGTCCTTAGCGGCTTGCAGCTCCTGGGTCTCGGAGCGAGCATCGCGAATGTCGACTTCCAAAGTAGCCTTAGCACGTTTGAGCTTCTCAGAGAGGGCCTTCACTTCACTGAATTCAGCCATGGCCTCGTTATGGATTTTGAGCAATGATTTCCTGGACAATTCCTGAGAATTAATAAGGTCGAAAAGCTCCTCATGCGACTTAGCCTGGATGTCACGC